GGTATAGCATAAGGTTGTTTATTTGTGTTTGTTTTTTTTCCTGATGTGAGAATTCACTGCAATAAATTTCCTTCTGAAGACTGCTTTCATTGTGTCCCATAGGTTCCAGTAAGTTGTATTTGCTTTTTTGTTTGCTTGTAGATGTTGTTTAATTTCCTCCGTGACTCATTGGAGGTTATTATTTAATTTCCATGTGTTTATGGGGTTTTTGCAATTTCCTTTGTCATTAATTTCCAATTTCATGGCACTATGTTCAGATAATATGCATGGGATAATTTTGATTCCTTGTGTTTACTTAAGCATGTTCTATGGGCTAGTATATGGTCTGTTTTAGAGAATGTCCTGTGTGGAGCTGAGAAGAATGTGTATTCTGATGTTCTTGGGTGGAATATTCTGTACATGTCTACTAAGTCTTATTTATTCAGAAGTTTGATTCATTTCTGTTATTTCTTTGCTGATTTTTCATCTCAGTGATCTGACTCTTTGTGTCAATGGGTTGTTAAGCTCTCCCATTATAATTGTGTTATTGCTTATTTTTCATGTCTATTAATATTTCTCATATAGCTGGGTGCTGTCATATTTGGTGCATATATATTTATGATTTTTATCTCTTACTCTTGAAGTTTTCCTGTAACCAGTATGTAGTGAACTCCTTTATGTCTTTTGATCATTGTTAGTCTGATATGCACATTGTCTGTAAACAGCATTGCCTCCCCTGCTTTTTTCTTGGTTCCTGAGGCATGAAGTATTGTTTTCCATCCTTTAACTTTTAGTCTATGAGTTTCTTTTTGAGTTAGATGGATTTCTTGTACACAGCATATGGTTGGATGTTGTTTCTTTATCCATTCTGCCAGTCTGTTTCTTTTAATTGGTGAATTGAGGCCATTTACATTAATGGTTATAACTGATATGGCTTTTTTTCTGTCATGTTATCTTTCTACTGTTGGTTTGTTACTTTAATGTTTGCCCTGCTTGGTGTGTGTGTGTGTGTGTGTGTGTGTGTGTGTGTGTGTGTTTCTGTTGTTCCATAAAGTGTAGTCATTTTTACGTATATCTAGAATATCTTTCAGTACTCCTTGAACGGTTGTTTTGGTGGTTATGAATTTCTTTAGTTGTTCTTTGTTGTGGTAGTGCCTTATTTCTCCATCAATTTTTTTTTTTTTTTGTCTTTTTCCTTTTTATCAGTACCAGGGATCGAACTCACGACTGCCTGCTTGCAAGGCAGGCGCTTATGCCGCTGAGCTAAATCCCAGCCCCGATTTCTCCATCAATTTTGAAGGATAGTTTGCAGGGTACACCAATCTGGGTTGGAAGTTGTTTTCTTTTAGGATTTGCAATACTTTACTCCATGTTCTTCTTTGACTTGATCATTTATGTTGAGAAGTATGCTGAATCTCATGGGCTTTCCTTTATAGGTTATTTGATTCTTTTCTCTAATAGCTTTTAATATTCTGTTCTTATGCTGTTTCTGGGATCTTGACTATTGTGTATCTGGCTAATTGGTTCTGGCTAATTGGAATTCTCTATGCTTCTCTTATCTGTATATCTGTTCCTTTTCCTACGCTTGGGAAATTTTCTGCTATTACGTCTCTAAATAGTCTTTTTCTATCATTTGTGTTGACTCCTTTTTCATTTACAGCTATCAGCATTGTATTTATTTATCTTTGCATTGCCTTGTAACTGTTGAATTGTTATTTTCTGGTTTCTTGTTATTTTTTAAAGACCTTTCCTTTCCTGATCACTAGGTGCAATCTTATCTTCAAGGTCTCAAAATCTATTCACATTTGTTCAAGTGATTTTACTAGCATTTGATGGAATTTTTCTTCTTCCCTATATTGTTCATTCAAGGGTTCCATCTTTTTCCAATGCTCCTTTATTTTTTAAAACTATGTCTTCTTTAGATGTGCTTAGCATTTCTTTCATTACATTTATCATTTCTTGCTTTACCTGGGAGATTATGTCAGATCTGATTTTCTTTACAACTTCATGGAGTTGTTTCTTTACTTAAGTTGCTATCATTTCAGAAATTTCAGGTGTGTTATGTACACTTTCTTCTATGTGTACATCTCCTGGACTTGTCTGGGATGGGCTGGAGGTTTGAGACTGAATTTTGCTCCTTCATTTTGTGATTTTCGTGGATTCCTGCAGGGTAGATGAATTCAAAGTCCCAGTTGTTTTGTGAGTTGACGTTGGCTATCCACAGTGAAGAGGGTTTCCCTGGCTGAATGGGAGTAGTAGGTTGGGACTTTCCCAGGTCCTGCATGATGCACTGAGGCTCCCTGGCTGGGTGAAGTTTGCTGGACACACCTCTTCCACACTTGGTGCTCTGACACTCCCCAGCTGCTAGGGGTGGGTCCCTACCAGAGTCTGTACTGCGCTACAAAACTCCTTGCCTGGTTGGGGTTGTGGGTCGTGGCTTCACCAGGCCCTGCCGGTGGGCACCAAGGTTCTTTGGCTGGGTCGAGTTGGCTGGAAAAATATCTACCTGGCCCACCAAGGTGCTCTGACACTCCCCGGCTAGTTAGAGGAGTGGGCACTACCAGGCTCTTTGGGACACTCTGAAGCTCCCTGGTTCCTGTCTTTTATTTTTCTTATTTTCTAATCTAATTCTGATGAGCTGTATGCAGTCTGACTACTGCTTCTTGGGTATCTGGATGTCTGTTTTTTGTAGTTGTGTTGTTGTGTTTACACTGTTCTGTCTGTAAATTATTTGTCTTTTTTTCCATGCTAGAATGTGAGCAAACTTCTAAAAACTAATTTTTTTCCATGTAGTAATTTGTGTTAAGTATTTTTCAATATATTTTATTCTCAAAAGTGCTTTTAGTGATTCTTAACAGTAACACAAATATAAATATCATGGGAACCTTCATACAGTCTTGGAACTGGTTCGTGGGCAGTAGTTAACAATATCCAAGTGAAATCCTGTTAGACTTATCCTTTTCTGCCCCATGGGTAAAAATTGTCATAATTATTTTACTATTTTTTGAAGCTTACCATGTATATTCTTTTACTTTGGCCCCCTTGAAATGTAGAATACATGAGTATATAAAAATTGTGTAGAAAAGCATTATAGGTGGTGTCTTTGTCTTACTATATTTCATATGGGCTCATATCTGAGTTTGGGCAAAATGCTTTCTCATCCATTATAGCGGTCACATCGCTGATGCTTTTTCAGGTTGACTTTTTATAGATGTGGAAAGAGCCACATTCATCTCCAGAAACAATAACACGATGTATTTTCTGGACATTGGAATAAAATCACTGGTCCTTAGATTTTGCTCTACTCTGAAGCAGGGATGTGGTTGTGGAGTGTTTTCATTTGATCCTTCATTGTTTCACAAAACCACATGCTATTTTTGTCTTTCCACCATTCCATTTCCTTTGTGTCCTCAACCAAGGTCATGATCTTGTTCATATTTAGTGTTTTTCTTTGCTATATATTATTTTCATTTTTCTTACATTTGTTGACTTTTATCCAGTACACAGATTCTTTTGTGTACATTGCAATTTTTTTCCTGTCTCTATTACCTGTTGTAATATACACAGGTATCAGTTTCTGCAGTTCTTATGGTTTTGTAATTTTCTTCTGAGAAAACCATTTTTTTCATATCCAAAAGATACTTAAGTATGAATTCTCCAGTTATTCAAGTTTGTCTTTCCCATTTCAAGATGCAGTTGTTTTACATGGACTATGAAGAACAGAGTGCATATTTCAATGTATATATCTATTTGTCCCTGAGTCTTGTGTTAAGCAGATGATGATTTCTGCCACTTTGTGCAATAAAAGCTCTATCATCAGTCAGTGTTCTATTTCCATGTCGGTCCACTGAACACTCTCTTCCTTTTGTGCAATTTGTTATTTTAATAGAACAGTGCCTTACATACTGGATTTTGATTCTCTTTCCTGTGTATAAAAGAGTTGTTACCTTATTACTAGTTATTGAGTATTATAAAAATCTGTTATACTGACCAATTATAATTTTCTTTGACAAACCAAAGGTGTGATTTGGAAATGTCCCATTTTTTCCTTCAGTTTTTCCTTTATTATTACTGCAAGGTAAGTTTGCAATATATTGGTGTTCACTATATATAATTTATAGTTTGATCATATTATTTCCCATGTCTCCTATATGCAAATTTCATAATGCTGTGTAAATATATCAGAAGAAAGGGATCAATTCAGTAAATAATAAGTTGAGAAAAAGATATATTGTATGATCTGTGAGAGCAGTTCATCAGATATTCTTTTTTTTTTGTCTTTTTCGTTTTTATCAGTACCAGGGATCGAACTCACGACCGCCTGCTTGCAAGGCAGGCGCTTTGCCGCTGAGCTAAATCCCCAGCCCCCATCAGATATTCTTGTATATTAGGCTTTTTATTGAATACTGATCTTGTAGGCTCCCTGTTAAAGCATATTTTAGAGAAAGTGTTCAAATTAAACCTGAGGTTAACCAGCAGGAGAACCAGTGTTCCCATTCTGCTGTTGCTTTACCAGTGAAGTCTAATCTTGCATTAAAATTCCTAAAGAAGGTACACATATAAATGGAGAATAAGTGTTTGATGACTAAACATGAAGTAAATTTGGAGGACCCAACCTCATTTCAGCTTTTGTAAGTAACTGAAATATTTCATGTTGTGTGTCTCACTCTTCTCCCTGGATATCTATGTCTGATGTTTTAGGAGGCAGTGTCCTTTGAGGATGTAGCTGTGAACTTCACTATGGAGGAGTGGGCTTTGCTGGATTTATCCCAAAAAAAGCTCTACAGAGATATGATGTGTGAAACCTTTAGGAATGTGGCTGCTATAGTTAAGGAAAATATTATTTTCTAATATAATCAGAAAGCACTGGTTATTGCTTTTCAGTGCTCTTTACTTTATTAGAACATGGAAACACTTGATGACTCTTCCAGGCATGGTCATATACTGTGAATCTAATTGGAATCTCTGAGTTTTTATGTGATGTAGTAACTCATCATTACATTTCTCTTTCTACACTTTAGGAAAAACCTGGGATGTTGAGAAAATTGAAGATGAGTGCAACAATTGCAGGAGAAATCTAAGGTAATTTGCACTCACAAAAAGAATGTTCCTTAATCAAATATGAAAACCAAGCAAACTACACAAATGAGACCACGTTCCAATTTCTTTCATCCCACAATATTTCTCCAAGGATGCATACATGTTGAGTATCTGAAATTTAGGCAATACTGATATTGTGACACAAGCCACATTATCTACTGTAAAAGAATAAACAAATTATTCCCATCTTCAAGACTATAAAAATTTGTACCAAATTTTATTTAGACATTGACCAACTATAGGAGTATATAAAACAAATTTTGTGCTTAGACTGAGAGCCAATTTTAAGATATCTAAATATGTGCGTGTGTGTGTGTATTTTCAAAAGACCACATTCATAGCCAGGTGTGGTGGCTCATGTCTGTAATCCCAGTGCTCAGGAGGCTGAGTTAGGAGGATCAAAGATTGGTGAGTTCAAGGCCAGCCTGAACTGCATAGTGAAACCCTGTCTCAAAAAGAAAGGAAAAGAAAAGAAAAGAAAGGGCCACATTCCTATGAAATATTATGTAAAGAATGCTGCATGTACTTAAAGGTGATGTATGCGCTATTTGCAAAATTGCTATCCTTGTGAACATATTGAAAATCCAAATGAATGTTACCGTTTTGATAATTGTTGTTCCTCCAAAACATTCAGTCTATTCATATTCCAAAATAATAGCATAAAGTTCATTGAGATGTCATTTAATGTAACATCTATGGAAATGTATGTAGAAATGCCTCAAAAAAAGTAAAAACAGAAATTTCATTCTATCCTGCTATACTTTTATTGGTTATATCCCCTCCAGTGGTAAAGTAATCGTATTACAGTAATGCACACACACCTTTGTCTGCAGCAGTATAATTTACAAAAGCTAAATGGGGAAACAGCCTATTAGATGACTATTCACAGATGAGTTAAGGAAATTCAGAATAGTAGCCTAGAAATGATGGTGTATGTGTGGAATCCTAGCACTCTAGAAAGCTAAGGCAGGAATTTCATGTATTCATGCTTGTCCTAGACAACTTTATGATTGATGAGACTATTTTAAAAATACGAAATGAAGCTGGGGATGTAGCTCAGTGCTGAAAGCATGGAGTAAATCTCCAGCACTGAGAAAATTGTGGTGTGTATATAGAAGGAAAAATAATTGCCAAATTTGATCTGGTGTTAATAATATTAAGTTATATAATAGGACAGAAATTCCAATGTTGTGTGTTATGTTTAGTATTAGAAACCCCAAATATGAATTATAGAGTAAAGGAGAAATGGAAGAAAAGAGGCAGATGTTTGGAGTGTGTGAAGAAGCCCAGTGGAAGGGGAAAGAGTCAGGGCAGAAAGGATATGAAATATAGCCAAAACATCATATACATATGTCCCAGTTCCTTAAAGTGTTATGTATTGCAGATGTGTTCAATTATAAACTGCCAAATGAATACTACTTTTTTGATAAAAGTTGTTTCCAACCCATCATCTAGAGTGTACAGTAAACCCATGATCAAGTTTCTTTGGGGACATAAAGCCAGATTTCCTCCCAAGATACCATTTATAAAAAGATACTTTTAAATCTAATTTGTTGTTTTCTTATTTTATTTCTTTATAGCAGTGAAGAGGTAGAAAAAGTCTGTGCATATAAATTTTGGTATCAATATGGAGAAACGGTTTTCTGGAATGCAGAGACTAATGGGAACACAAGATCAGTTGATACAAAACCAGGTGAAAGTTTTAGTTCTAGAAAGCTCCTGATTGGTCATTCATCAGCAAATATTCCAATCACAGCTGACAGTGGACTGAAATTATATAAGTATCAGGAATTTGAAGAGAAGCTGTCCAGCTGTATCAAAGATGAGAAAACCTGCATTGACTTTGAGTCTTCCCAGAAGCATGCAAAGGCAAATCCTAGAGAGAATCACTGTATACCCAACGGTGTTCACATCTGGAAAAGAAATCACAGTGAAGTGAGTACTTACTTACATATGTTCAGAATGTGGAAAAGGTTTTACTTCTCACCAGTTTATTCAGATACATGAAAGAACTCACATGGGCAAAAAGCCATATGTGTGTCCACACTGTGGGAAATCCTTCGGTAATGGCGCTTCATTTGGAAATCATCAAAGAATTCACATTGGGGAGAAACCCTATGCATTTAAACAATGTGGAAAAGCCTTCAGCATACATAGTGATTGTCAAGGATATGAACAAACTCACACTGAGGAGAAACCCTATGAATGTAAGCAGTGTGGGAAAGCTTTCAGGACACACAGTGATTGTCAAAGACGTGAACGAATTCATACTGGGGAGAAGCCCTGTGTATGTAAGCAATGTGGGAAAGGTTTCAGCAGACATAGTCATTGTCACGTACACGAAAGAACTCACATTGGGGAAAAGCCCTATGAATGTGAACAATGTGGGAAAGCACTCAGCACACACAACCATTGTCGAATACATGAAAGAACTCACACTGGAGAGAAATCTTACATATGTAAGCAATGTGGGAAAGCTTTCAGCGCACAGAGTAATTGTCAAGTTCATGAAAGAATTCATACTAGGGAGAAACCCTTTGTATGTAAACAATGTGGAAAAGCTTTCACCACACAAAGCAGTTGTCGAAAACATGAAAGAACTCACAGCAGGGTAAAACCATATGTACGTAAGCAATGTGGAAAAGGTTTCACAACACAGAGATATTGTCAAATACATGAAAGAACTCACACTGGGCAAAAATTCACCTATGTACTAACAAGAAACTTTCAGCAAACAGCAACTGTGAAAGTCATGAACACGGAAGAAACCCAGTTTATGTAAGCAATGTGTTATAAGTTTTAATACACACAGTGTTTGTCAAAGGCATAAAAGAATTATTGGGGATAAACCCTACGTATGTAAAAATAAGGAAAAAGTACACACAGCTATTGTCATACACGTGAGTCGTAAAGGTAGGACTGCTGTGTATGTAAGCATTACGTAAAAACATTAATTATGCTAGGAATCATTAAACATTAAAAAGCTAAGAGGAAGTGAACTTTGAACATATAAAGGAACTTGCACTGACCTGAAAAAAACACAGTGGAAAGAAATCCTTTATAAACAACCTAAACATTTTAACTCATTTCAATAACAGCTAGGCTTTTAAAAAAAAAAATGCTTTGTTAAGAAATTTAGTACATGGTTAGGTGTTTTGCTGAAATCTACTTCAAGCCCCTTCGTTATGGGAATAATATCCCTTTGCATGTCCTCTTGGTTTTTTTTCCCATATCTTCACAAACATGACCATAAAACCACTTGTCCCAAAGCTGTATAGGATTTTACATAGTAACTGGGATATCTACTCATTTATTTGCTTGTGTGTGTTTTCTTTCTAAATTGCACTTTTCTTGATGTCCAGCAAGCAATCAGATGATTGCTGGCTGTCCAGAGGCCTCGTGACTGCAACTGTGGTGCTTTGTTTACTGTGCCTGAACTGTGATTTTTCTCTGTTAGAAAGTGGGCAAACAAACCTAGTGTTTTTCCACATGGTAATTTAGCATTTAAATATTTTTCTATAAGTTTTATTTTCAGAAAGGTTTCTGGGAAGACTTAACAGTAGCTATAAACATCCTGGGGCCTTGGGCAGTGGTTAAGAATACCCAGGTGAAATCCTATTTGACTTATTCTTGTTTTCCCCTTGGATTATCACTCTAATTTTTGCTAGTTTTTCCTGAATTTACCATGGGTCATTTTCATTGTGCTGTGTTTTTTAGTTTTGAGCTACAGGAATGTTCAATAAGGGTGATACAGAAATTGTACACATAGTGCACTGAGGTGGTTTCTTTGTCTCACTGTAGTTCAGATGTACTCATGTGTGAATCAAGGGCAAAGACTTCCTCCTCCATTATAGTGGTCACATGGTTCAAGTTTCTTCATTTATTTTTCATAGATGTGAAAAAATTCTTATTTGTCTCCACAAATAACAGCACAGTGGGATTTCTGGACATTGAGGTAAAATCACAGGAATGTAGATTTTGGTGCTCTTTAAAATATCGAATATGTCTGTGAATATGTCATTGGATCTCTTCTTCTTCCTTACATCCACTTCCTTATATCCACCATTCCATTTCCTTTGACCAAGGTCATGGATCTTGTTTATGTTTGGTGTTTTCAACTGAGTTATATGTTTTGTTCATTTTTCTTACATTTGTTTTTTTTACCCTGTACACAAAGTCTGTGAGTATATTCTGTGGTATCAAAATGGAGAAATATTTTTTTGGACTCCAGACACTATTGTTTACGTGAAAGCCACTGCTACAAGACCAGGTGGGAGCATTGCTTGTTGAAAGCTCTTGATTAGTCATGGTCACCAACTGTGCTTAGTAAAGCTAACACTGGGCTGAAATCAAATAATTATCAGGAATTTAAAGAGAACCTAACTATAGCAAACATAAGAAAACACACACTGACTTGTGATTCTCCCAGAATCATGCAAACACAAATCCTGTCGAGAAACACTATTGAATATAAGCAACATAGAAAATTGTGCTCTTGACTGCACTGAATAAGCTTACACTGAAGAGGAACCCTTTGTACATAAGCAAGATGTGAAAGCCTTCAGTACACCCAGCTATGCTCAATTCCAAGACAGACGTTACAGTGGAACAGATACATATATTTGGATATGGTGTGGAAAAGTCTTACTTCTCACCATTTTATTCAGATCCATGGAAGAACTTGTTTTTGAGAAAAGCCTATACTTATAAACACTGTGGAAACATCTTCCACTACTTTATTTGTAAATATGAAATAATGCACTGGGGAGAAGCCTTGCATATGTACCAATGTAGAAAATCATACACAGGCATTGTCAGATACATGAAAAAATTCACACTGACAGGAGGGCACACTTTGTATATAAGCAATGTGAGATCACTTTTAGCACTCAAAATAGTTATCAAATACATGAAAGATGACCCCAACATTGACCCTTTTGCCTGGCATCACTTTCCTCTTCTGCCTCATCTCTGATTTGGAAGAATGTTAGGATAGATTTCTCCAATTTTTTTTATTTTAAAGAGGATAAAACCAGGGCCAGGGATTTAGCTCAGCAGCATAAGCACCTGCCTGGCAAGCGCAAGGTCGTGAGTTCGGTCCCCAGTACTAAAAAAAAAAAAAAAAAAAAAAAAAAAAGATACTAATAAAGAGGATAAAATCAACAGAAATAGAACCAGTCAAAACAAACCAGTACAAGTGATACAGGACTTTACAATAAAACAGATCAACAATAGTTACCATAATGCCTCTCATTGTCTTCAAAATGGTTGCTGATACCTTCAGACATAGTAAAAATCAAACAGGACAGAACCAATAAAAACAAAACAATGAATACAATAAAGGGTTTCAAAACAAGACAACAGTAAAACCAAGATGGGTACCATAATATATCCTACTATCCCTAAAATAACTGCTCATGCCATCAGATATAACAAAATCAAACAAAACAAAACAAAACAGAACAAAACCGAACCCACAACACAATGAAAGATGATACAGAACTTCAGAACAAGATAATAGAAATCAACAATGGCTACCACTTTCAGAAAGAAATCCTCCTTAGATGCCATACTGTGTACCACTATCCTCTGAATAAATGATCATACCACTGGCCCTAGACCTGCAAGGTTAGTGAAACACCAAAACACTACAAGCATCAAATTTCAGATCACCTCAATAGCTATCATGGCAGCCTGTGTTTCTCTGGATCAGCTGGTAGCTTATAGGGAGAGGGAGGGATTGGCTCTTCTTGTTTGCCAGCCCATGTGCCAGAAGGGGCTGGGGTCTGGCTATCCCCTTGCCACTGGCAAATTGCACGTGCTGCTGGTTAGCAGGGAGGGCTTGCTTCTTGATGAATCCTTGTTCTGTCCCCCCGTAGAATGTGAATGGCACTGACTCATGGGGAAAGGCTTGGGTGTGGCTGTCCCTCACCAGTGGTGGCCCACACATGGTGCTGGTTCACAAGGAGGGATTGCTTCTTGGTGAATCTTTGTTCTCTTCCCATGCAGTCCAAGAATGGTGGGTTTTCTCCAAATTTTTGAGAAATGGTATTGATATTTTAATGGGAATGGCACCAAATCTGTCTATCCATCTTGAGAGTATGCCATTTTGTCTATATTATGTGCACTCTTTTAAGAACAGGTGAGATCTTTCCTTTTCTGATGTCCTACTGGATTTCTTTCTGTAGAATACTGGGGTTTTGTAGCAGAAAATGGACCTTCCCCAGTCAGTATACTTCAGTTTCTGTTAGTTTCCCAAGTAACCTCCAGTTTACTTCAGTTTATGCTATTTCTGTTTCCCAGAAATGCTGGTCACTGTGTTCCACATTGTATAAGCCAACTTCCAATTGACAAGCCATTCTGCCTCTGTACTTCCCTTTTGTAACAACCCCCTCAAGAAACTACCCTCCTTGAGCCTTTAGGACCTGACGTTTTTTCTTGAGTTCAGTGCCCATTGACATTAAATAAATCTACCTCTAAATCCTGGATGATGTTTTGGTGATTCTGTTTGCTGCTGTTCTAGTGTGTCGGCCAGGAAGACCAACGGTGCTGACCTCTTTGGTCACCAGTAATGACCCTCATGGATGGCACAAGGATCACTTCAATTCTCAATGAAAAGTCATACCCTCAAGATTTCTTGAGTCACCTTGGAAATTTGGAGGAGAATTCTTAGCTCCCCATGACCAGGGAGGGAGTTAGTCTATGCTCTTTGTGGGTTTCTCTCTCATTTTGTGGTTTGGATTTCTGTCTTACTGGGTCTTGCATTCAAGTGGTGCCACAAGGAGAGAGACTTTTGTTTCATTTTGTGTTCTGCCTTTTGTTGAGCCTTGCTGTCATGGCTTTTGAATACCTTAGTGGCTATCTCAAGGAGTTCAGTCAAGTTTTTCCCAGAAAACCCTTCTAGTTACCAGAGTTTGCATTGGATGTTGGGAGCAGATTGGACCACAAAGGCTGCATTGATCATGCACTGGTTCTCAGGGGCCTCGGGATCCATGAGTGTATAAGTTTGTAGTGCCTCATATAGTCTCTCATAGAAACAACCAGGAGATTCATCAGGTTTCTGGAGCTTAGATGTAGGGTTTGACATGTTGGTGGGTTTCTTGGCATCTACTCGAATCCCTTGGAGGAGTACTGATCAGTAGTTAGTGAGGGATTGTTGTCCATTAGAGGTTTGGAAGTCCCAGTCTGGTTTAGTCTCCCTGGAGATGCTGTATGTGCCCAAGCCTCTGGCGCTGCATGATCTTTGGAGCCAGAGTCTGCTTGGATTTCCTGGGTTCTGTGATGATTTTGTTTTTCTTTGGTGTTGAGGAGGGTATATAGCAGTTGCCTACACTCCTCCCAGGTAGGTTGATGGCTCTGAGTAACACAGTCAATGAGATCAAAGAGGATTGAGGCTTTTGAGGTAGGAAGATATGTGATTTTTCCAATTAAGGAGGTCATTCATCATGAAGGGCTGGTAGTAATAGATGGTGAGTCCAGGCAGGATGGTACCATCAGTAAAAGTGGTGGGTGGAGGTCGGGTGTAGCAGATGGGGAACAGGATGGCTTCAGTCCAGGAGGAGCTGGAGGCCTCTGGCAAGGGGTGCTTCAGAGGTGGCCAGTGGTGGGGTTCAGACAGGTAGAGGTAAGTGGATGAGAAGCTGAGGGAAAGCCAACTGGGGGCAAGGAGTCCTAGAGCAGGCTGAACAGAAGTGTTGGTGACTCTGGGGATGTGACTGGAGATCCACAAAGCAAGGGCACCTGGGCCAGTGGTGGCTGGTTTGATGACAGTGGAGTGTCAGGGACTATAAGATGTAGAAGAAGCAGGAGGGCTGGGGACTGAAGAATATATGGTGGAGAAAGAGGCCCTTTTTCGGGTGAGCCTTGGCACATAGGATTCTTTAAGCTCTTGAGGTTTGAGCCAGTAATTTGGGTCACAAAGACCTAACTTTAGCCCTTCATATTAATACAAAATCTAACCAGGGGGCAGGTCATGGGCTATTTCTAATCAATAATCAACATAGGGGAATTGATCAGAGTGTACAGGTTTGCTAGTCACCTCATTCCAGACAATTCACACTGTGGGGATATCTAGAGTCCTCTTTGGTGGCCAGCCAGTATTAGTCAAGCCAGCCAACCTCACACAAGTGCCTGATTTTTTCAGGCTTCATTTTTAAACCATAATTATGTAATCTTTCTAGAAGTTTCTCAACATACAATCAAGGACAGTGGGCTTACTCTGGTTACTTCCCTAATTTATGTTATGTGTGTGGTGGCCTTGAATGATGCTGCAATAGACAAAGGGTGGGTGCCTCCCAAAGGAGACAATTCAGACGCCAGTTTGGCTGCATCCCTTTTGGGAACTCTGGAGTATCATAACTAAGATGGTGTGGGCTGATCACAGATTCCCATGGTTATGCCTTATGCTGTCTCCACAGAACTGTAGGGTAGTTTCTGACCAGACTCAGTGAGGTTACCTCTCCTGCCTATTGAGGACAATTGTCAGTTCCACTTATTCTCACATTCAAACAGTCATTTGAAAGTTCAAACATTCCTCTTCCCTTTGGGAAGTTTCCTGTCTGGAGTCTCAGGCTTCTCTTTCTGTCCAATGGGACAGGCCTACCTGGGTTCCAGGTTGGCCCTGGGGACTTATCTTGCCCTGAAGTCCTGGTGAAACTTTGTCCTCCTCTTCCTGAGACCTGCTGGGAAGCGCAGGAGGACCATCGGGTTACTCCTGCACAATGAAGGAGGATCTGCCAGACTGGGGTGATGGTATGCCTTCTTGTTCTCCTGGGGGAAGGCTCCTGGCAGCTGCTCTGACTGTCCTTTAAGCTGGTGGCTCAAAAGGCCACCTGGTAGCTTCCCCACAGGACCAATTGTTATGGAAAACAGGATATCAGACTTTTCCAGACAGGCTTAAGGAACAAAGTGTGCACTCCCAGGGAAGTAACAAAAGCCTTTTATTGACCAGCCTGGCTCAGAGAAGCTCCTACTTCACAATTACTGAGCCCCAGAGACAGTGTCACAAAGGTTTTCATAGAGTTTGTGGCTAGAGAAAATGAGCTCAAAGACAGTTACTCAAACAATGACACATTTATAACTTTAGCTGTCCAGCACAACTCAGTCAAGTAGGTAATCGAACCTAAGATGAGGGAGGTGGGCATAGATGCCACAAGGTAGATAGTGAAGCCCCAGAATGGGATGGAGGAGCTTGAAGAAGGGAAACACTCATAGATTTAGAAAACTGTGAAACCTCTGTATTAGCATATCAAAGTGTAGCCCAAGCAGGAGGAAAGTGTGATAACTCGGACCCCGGTATAAAATCCAAGAAAGCAAGAAATTAAAATTTGGGAAGCAAAGGCTTTATTAGGTAAAATCCAGGCCTGGTGACGAGTCTCCGGGAGCCAATTTGGAGACTGCGCACCTCACAGCTAAAAGTCAGGATTTTTTATCTTGTAAATCCACAAACAGCTGCTGGTCACACAATGTAAGGAGGGGGATGGGGGTGTGACACACTACAAAGCAGAAACGGCAATTGCAAGTCTCCCTGCATACTAGCAAGTTTAGATAAGAAGAAATCTTGTTTTCCTTAGCAAAGAACAGAGAAGCCTAACAGCAATTAACAACCTTAGTTACCTTACTTTAGCACCACAACTGTTCTATTTGTAGAGGGCAACAATGGTTAACATATCAATTAGGTAAGATTTTACAATTCTTTACAGAGGAGAGCATTGATTAACATATCAGTCCTTTGCCCAGAGGGAAAGGAAAACACACATTTACAGTAAGGCCAAGTTACAGGTATTACTGTGATACAAACGAAGCTATTTTTGTGAAGAATGTACAATCTAATGCAATCTAATGCAATTAACACAATTTGTGACGGGCTACCGGGTAGGGAAGAGGAGCTATTACCTCAGGCCTTTGTTTTATGGCCTTTAGGAAGTTAAAACTTAACCTAGTTAGATTTGAAGGGAGAAGGGGAGGGGAAGCAGCAGGTGGGCTTATACCTTAGAACAGACCTTAGGATAGTTAGGGGGGCTTAGGTTATAACAGAAAGAGCAGGAAAATTCTCTGCCAGTGGCAAAAACTGTTAGGAACAGCCAAGGCAGAAGACTGTTTTTTAAAAGGCAACAATTCTTTCCGTGTCAGTACCTTTCATGACATAGCTGCACTTCCAAAACACTGGACAAGGTCATGTGGGCAAAGATAGCTCAAGAAATGTTAGGTTTTTTTGGTGCAGTTGAAAGAGAGAGTGAGGTAAAAAGGCTTTTATTGTGAGCACAGGGGGTTTGCCAGTGAGCGCAAGTTCCCTCTCACCATAAGGAGGAAGTGGTTGGGCTTTTATTGAGACTAATTGGGGGTGGAGCTTGGGAAGGCAGGCAAAGCTACACATTAGTGGCTGATTGGGGGAGTGCTGGAGCATGTGAAAAGGAAGAGGAGGTTTTATCGTGGGCTGAGGGGAAAAGAAGCAGGAAGTTGAGGTGTTATTGTTCCTTGGCTCGCTCAGCCATATTAGACCAGTGCCCTGATGACTTGGAGGAGTCCACATGAGTAAAAGCCCATCAGGAATCCTTGTAGATGCTGCAGTTAGACCAGATATCCTTGCTGTGTTCCAGAAAAGCAGCCCTGTTTCCTGGCTGGGTCAGTGATCATTATGCATCAGTGACCACAACACCTAGTTTCCATTCTGGTTTCTCATCTCTGTACTAATAGGCTAATCGGGCCACACTGCAAGTAAAGACAGCACTACCATCTGCAGACACTAACTGAGGAAGGAGAACACAAACAGAAGCAGCTGGAGTTGAGGAAACTTTGGCCAGTGACCCACACATTTACCTATACACATTCAGCTTCCCAGACATGCTGACAGGAGTGACCTCGGTTATTTTTGAAAACTGTATCGTGCTTGTGAACAAGTGATCCACAGAGGAGGCATTGTCATCTCCAGATTCACATGGCTGCCCCATGTCCTGTGAAAATGTACTCACTATGCTTGATGAAAACTCATTGTTTGAAACATTTTAAGTCAAAATGTAGTAGAGACAAAGAGAAATTTCAAGTGATATATTTCTGCTTGGTATCCATCCAGTTTTGATGAAGACACATGTATTTGTCCTTCCTATCTTATATTTTACAACACTCTTCCAATGTCAGTGCTGTTAGGAAGTATAGCGACATTAAATTCAAGGAAGAAGTTTGTAGTAGGAGTGTGTTTCATTCAAGAGCTTATCTGTTCATTGTCGTAAGCATCGTAATGATGCTAGTTTGCTGCGTCCCACACAGCTCTCCATGTTCCTGGGGTGAGGACAGTGAGAGAATGGAGAAAAAAGGACAAGAATCAATCTACAGAAGACAGGCCATATGGAGCCCTCACTCCTGATGGGAAGTACAAAAGGGAAAGGAGGAAGAGGAGGAGGAGGAAGAGCTGCAGTGGCTGCAGCGCGTTTATCTATACACTTGGTAGGTTAAGTGTCCCATGAAACCTCTCTGTCTAATAGTTTATCCCAAGGCTTGTCTCCGGCACCCAGTGTCCTTGAGACTAGCATAGCTTATTCATGTGATTTGCCTCAGGCACCCTTTGTTCCTGTGGTTAGAGCAGTTCGTTCCTGTGACTTGTCTCAGGTGTTAGCCTTGCTCCAGCCTCACAGCAAATCCAGCTTCAGCTGCTCCCCGAATTAGCTGAATACAATTTTGGAAGACGCTTTTATTTATGACCCTTCCATTTTACATGGTGTGTGTGGTGGAGTATTGTATGGAGATCATCTGGAAAGGGCTCTGGTTTAAATGTGGGACACGGTTGTGTCTGAGCTGTTGCATCTACTTCGTTTAATTCAAAAGCTTTAGAGAGAAAGATACAAGTACTGTATGTTTAGGAGCAGAGAACATCTCTGTGCTTGGGTTGTTCTCAGATGAACAGATAAGGGTTGCAGAGGACACCAAATGTTTCTAATACTGTGATACTGCCTCTGTGAGCTTGTGTTATGGTCCTCACGGGACATAGTTACCTGACAGGTGCAGCTCTCTGCTTTATCACCCCGCAGCACAAATGTAGGCAGTAGATCAGTAGAAGACTGCAGCATTGAGAATAAAAGGACATTTCTGTGTGGAAGGAATTCATTAAGAGGGGACACTCAAAATTCATGCCAAATGTCTACCCATAGGACATGGTTTTCAGGGCTAAATTCATGAGTCCAAAACTGCATAAAGAATTAACATTCCTGATTATTTCATATATTTCTATTACTGGAAACATTGTATTTAGTTTGAAAGTTACACTTAATGTAGAATTTATGACTCTAAATTCAAATAATCACACAAGTTTGAGACTACCAGAGAAACACTGTGTCCTGTGTTAAAATGCAACAGTACTGGTGAATAGTCAGTATTCTTATGATTTCACACAATTCTGTGTTTGACATATTTTGGACTGTTATGTATTGGGGAGATTTTCCCACAATCCATTTTTATATAAAAATCAATCTAAGGATATTTTCCAATTGCTTGTAAGGTTTTGTCTCCTGAGAAAGGGAACGTCAGAGTTGATGATGACATGAATGATGGTTACAAACTCTCGTTCATTCAGGACTGTAACAGTGATTTGTCCATAGTTACCTGGCTCTTAAGTCAGACCACCATGGCAGAGGGCCCGGGGCAGAGGAGAAAGGTCCAAGGCCAGAAGACAGAAAGCAGCGAGCCTGTCTTTCTTCTCTCCCTTTATTTCCTATCCTGGGCACAACGGATGGTTTACCCACCCCCAGGCAGGGACTTCTATCTACAGTAAATCCATTCAGCCACAAGAACTGTGCACTAAATCAATCACTCAACTATTCCGGTTATCATATGAGTATAATCTATACTCAGGTGGAGACCCACCTACTTCCACAAAGCCTTACACGTAAGCTCGTGAGGCTTTGTAGGCACAACTAAATTCAAGCCACAACAAGTACCCACTGGCATTTTTCATTTTTGGTATTGGTATCAATTATGGGAGTACAATGAAGCCCCAGATGGCTATTAACTTGATTTGGAATTGCTATAACCTGGAACATGTCAAGCAACTCAAAAAATATTAAACAGGCATTGGCAAAACAAAGGAGAAACAGGCAAAGGAGAATGTGTGATTTGAGAAGTAGGAAACAGAATGAAGTCATCCATATGTGTTTCAAAGCTGTAAAATACAGAAATGTTTCTTAAAGCCTATTTTAATAATGCTACTCTTCTCTATTAAAAAGTAAAAACAGGGCTGAGGATTTAGCTCAGCAGCATAAGTATCTGCCTGGCAAGTACGAGGTCATGAGTTCGATCCCTGGTACCAAAAAACAAAAAAGTAAAAAGAAGCATCAGTGAATTTTATTTCTGAATGGATAGGAGCTTAACAAGCCAGGAAGATTACTGTACTGTTACGTGCTTACTTTATACATATATTCATTGAATATATTTATGTTTTCTTAGTAACATTGGCTGACAGAAGGAAGTACATTAGAAATGATGTTCAACTCAAAATTATTCAGGAAGTCATACCACCTCCATGGAAGTATGGGCTTGAATGGAAAAAGTATCCTCGAGGAAGAGAAAATAAAACATTCTAAAGGAAATATCACAAAGAAATTTAGCAATACATTAAAAAGATTATCCACTACAATACAGTGGCCTTTATTTCAGGAATAAAAAATTATGAAATGTTTTATTCCAAAGTATTTATAAAGTGTATCCATGCTAAAAAAAAAAGTGACAAGGCCATCCTTTTGGTATATAAAAAATGCACCAAATGTTAAAAGCATCTTCAATGTAAAAACACTGAGAAGCTGCAGAGAGTAAGCCACAAAGGCAGCACCATATTTTGATAAATAGGCCGCATTTTGAGAAATATTTTGGGAAAATGAGAAAATGAGAAAGGCAGTACCATATGCATCTGGATTGGAAATATTGGAAAGCATGTTTTCAAAACACTAAGTCCTCAGATTCTTCTTTAAAGAAGTGCAATCAAAGTGCACCTTATTAAAAAATACAAAACACACAGAAAGTTACAACCCTGTGCTGCATAGGAAGAGCCCATGGAGTGGAGTCTGGGGAAGACTAAAGCATTCTGGGAGAAGCTAGGCTTCAGTGAGTTTCCTGTGCTCCAGGGTGAATTTGGGCTAATGTGGTGGAAAGGGCACACAGGTTATCAAAGACTGCTGTGAAGGAAGCATAGGAGGAGAAAGGCATGAATGGTCACAAATTCTCCTGGGATCATGCTTCACCCCTGCGGCCACACCCTGCTAGAGGGTGGAAAACTCTGGGGCCTGGGCCTGAGCCCAAGGCCCACAAATGGCTGCAGAGCTGGTGAGAGTCTGATAACTGACAGGAACATAGTAGTCAGACATAAATAACATAGACACACTTCAAAAGTTTTCTTTCATGTATACAGCTTCTCCCTTTTCCCTAACTGATACACGATCACGTCACCATGCAGCACATGATGTCATAGGAGTTTCAGCACCATCCACCTGCTACAGATCCAGAGCATTTTGTTTCGAGATTTTCTCAAGCGTGCAGCCTCATAAGGTGAGTAGTCTTCAGGTTCAAACTTCCTGTCAGACCGGGCCAGACTGTACTCTTGCCTTGTTCAGAGAAAGTCAAGCTTTTTACTCTCCCTTCGATAAAACTCCAATTGTAAGCTCTGAAGTTTACCGCTCCTAGAAGAAAGGCTAGGGAGAAGCACTTTGTGGACCTGGAATAAACACGGAGATTTTCTTGGCTCGAAGAAGTGACGAAAACACATGAAGTCAACAAAAACAACAGTGGCAACTCAAAGAATAGACAGATGACATCACAGGAAACCGAAACCGTTAGTCCTTCCTGCTGTGAGAGCTGGCACATCCTTCCAATGCCCGCACTCCAGAGACTGAGGAAGTAGGCTTGCTGTGATTTAACCGAGTTTGGCCCACACAGGGAGTGGAGGATCAGCCTGAATTACAGAATTAGCAAGTGTCTATCCCAAAAACTTAATTCCTCAAAAGCCCCTGCTACTGAAGGGAAACAGTTATCAGAGTGAAGAACCCATCTAGAAAATGAGCAAAACATTTTATTTTGAATAAAGTCTGTCAAACAAAGATTAAAGGTAATCTTTTCAATTCAGAAAGTGTAGTCTGGTTGTCACTAGACAGCTTTTGTATGGAAAAAAATACTTTGAATGACAATGTCCTGTGGAGCGGGGACACTCTCCCTTCCTAGAAAAGCCACCATGGCTCCCCACTGCCCATAGTGCTCATGCTGCCCTGGTCATCCTGTCTGAATTACCGTGAACTTTCTCCTCCCCGACCTTTAAATGTACTGTGTCATCCCCGGTCCCCATGGCTTCACCACCTGATTTGGCTTCTGTCCCCTCGTTTCTAAAGCTTCCTTGTCCCTCTTCCCTGGTTTAGGGGTCCTTGTGAATGCCTTTAGCTCTGCTGTCCTGGCTGCCCCGGTGTCCTGAATTGATTCAAACTTTTCCCTTTCATGGTCATATTGACTTCGAGGAAGAGCCTGGTAAGGTAGACGGGGACTCACCCTCACGGTTTTATGAGCCTACTTTTTGGCTGGATGCCGCTCGGCAGCAGCATTCACGGTATTTTTGATCATATTCTCAGGAAAGAGAATTTCCAGACCGGCTTCAAAAGAGTGGTGAGATCGATGGGGTGTGTTCGAAGAAAAGGGGAGGAGTCTTGTGGGGGGATTCAAGACAATGGCTCTTTAAGTGTAACAATTTTTTAATTTAAATATTCACCTTACCTTCCAATCAGGCTTGACCTTACTGTATGGCCCTGGGTCAGCTGGGTCACCTCTCTAGGCCCTGTTTCCTCACTGTGGAAGTAGGGCACAGGGTTACAAAACAGAATCCTGATGATATATAGTCATGGCCTCGGCGACAGGAGCACAAAAACCGCACGAGAGAGAGGCTGGGGTCTGAGTGTGGGTGTGCAAAGCTGGTGGATCGCTGCTTTTGCCTTTACTAAAAAATGAATGAGCGGAGGAGCCCGCTTAGCTTCTCCTGCTCTGGGGTAAAAGTGGGGTGCATAATACAGACTGAAGGAATGAAAGAATGGGAGAAGGCACCTGGGTTTCTGAACCGTTTCGCGGGGAGGGGGTCAGGTTCCGTTTGTGTTTGAGGTCAAACAGAGCTTCTCGCCCGCTGCGCATGCGCTTCGCCAAGGTACCATCTGTGCGCCTAGGCCGACCGGAAGTCCCGCCTCTGGGACTTCCCGCCCCGCCCCCGTGCTGCCTGTCTCCTAGCAACCGGGAAACAAACCCACTTTGCTTTTTGCCCTGGAGCGCACTGCACTCGCGGGTCTCCGGAGGCAACTAGGAGGGCGAGGAGCTAGTGCTCCAACTTTGCCTGATCTGCTGCCCCACTCACCAGCTCGCAGGTACCCCTGGCGCCTTCGGATTCGTCGTCGCTACCCCCAGGCCAGTGTTTCTTTTTCGCAACAGCCCCGACTCCACTCCCACCGCCCTGGAGCTTGTGCCCTAGACTCAGGACCCAGTGGCTATTCATGACCTGCCTTGCTGGAGTCTCGCCTTCTTTGACCTCGCCAGGCATCCGCACGGCGCTGCCCAGCCTGGTTGGTCTTTGTCCAAGTGGCAAACGCCTAGCATGCTTTGGTGCACCTCCCCGGGCTGTGGCTGACCTCCCTGAGCCCTGAGCCTGGTGCAAGAAGGATTCTCCACCCTCCCCTGCCCTCTCGTGATTCCTGGAGAGCCGCATTCCCCTAGCCAGGTATTCCACAGGTGCCAATGACTGAGTCCTGATTCAGGGCAAGAGAAGCAAGCTGGACTCGCTCATCATCCTGATAACAGCTAGCTGCCCCTTTCTGTGGTTCCTTCCTTTTTTTCACTCATGTTTTTGGGCACTGTGCACCTGGCAGTGACCAGACTTTAGGCAGCCCCAGAGCAAGATGAGAGAAGGGTGGGTCTTCCTGCAACAGGTAGGGTTTAGCTTCTGAGGACAGAGGTGACCCAGTCTTTATTTTCTCCCAGCCTGCCCTACAGTTTGGAGCATGTCTCTGCACATCTGGGATTGGGGAGATGAGGACAAAGAAAGCATCGGGCAGGCCTCCTCCTTCCCAAGCTATTACCACTTTGGCACAGAAGACAGCCTGAGGGCTCCGGCTCCCGAGCAGGAGTCCAACTTTGACAACAGCTACAGCAGTATCGAGCCCTTGGATGCCAGCATCTTTAATGCTGACGTGCCCCAGCTGGTCCCCTGCAATCTCATTATCTCCCTGGCCCTCCCTGTGAATACAGGTAGATGCTCAAGGAGGTTCCAGTACCCCTCACAGAAAGGCAGTCCACAGTTGGTCTTCTGTTGGAAAAATAAGCCACATAGGCCCCACATCTTTCCGCTCCCTTCCTCCCTCTATAGTCAGAAATTTTAGGAGGCCCGACAGTGGGCCAGGCACTTAAGTGGCTGCATGAGTTTCTTATACTTAATCCTCTCTAAGATCAAATAAAGCAGGTGATGTCTCTGATCCACCGGTGAGTGGTTCAAGCTGATGGGGGTATGGTGTGGCGTTGATTCCCATAAGCTGGTTGTGAGTCACTAAAATCTTGTTTAAATGCATCTTTGATTTTTTGGAATCAAAATCTCTGCATGTAAGCCAGGTGTGGTGCCGCACACCTATAATCTCCGCAATCAGGAGGCTGAGGCAGAAACATCACTAGGAGTTCAAGGCTTGCTTGCACTACAAAATGAGGCCCTGGGCTGGAGATTTAGCTCAGTAGTGTAAGCGCCTGCCTGGCAAGCATGAGGTTGTGACTTTGGTCCCTGGTACCAAAAAGAGGACAAAAAGACCCTGACCTCAAAACACCAGAAACAGAACACACGCACATACAGAGAAGACCTCAGTATAAAGTGAGCCCATTAACAACTGTCAATTAAATGGAGCCCCCAAATTGAGTGACTGCAAACAGGAAGTTGCTGTACTCCTTGGGTGTGCAGGCTGCTGGCTTCCATTCCCAGGAACAGTTGTCCTGCTCTGCCGGTGGCCTGGCCCAGACACCTGCTGAGTGTGCAAAGTCAGCCACATGCCAGAGGGTCGGTGCAGTGTCACACAAGCTGCTCAAGTGTCAGTTCCTCCTATTTGCTGACATTTTCTCAGGCAAAGCAAGTCACGTGGTTTAGTGTGAGGGTCGGAAAAATGTGCTTTACCTCTTGGGAGACCTTGATGTGTTTTCTTTTTCTGTTGTCTGGTCTGCTTAATTTATGTTGTGCTGAGAATTGAATTCAGCTGCTCTCCATAGTGCTGTCTCTGCCTCAAATATTTTGGAGGCTGTCTGGTTAGGTAGATACCACATTTTTAATTGCTCATCTTCTTGGTGAATTAAGCTTTTTGTCATGTGGTGACCTCATCAGTCATGGTGCTTTTATCTTGTGCATATTGTTATCAAGCAAAAAAGCTAAGCTGGGCATGGTGGTATATGCTTCCTAGTACTTGGAAGGCTGAGGCAGGAGCATTTCTGTGAGTTAGAGGCCAGCATGGGCTACATAGCAAGTTCAAAGCCAGCTTATACTACATAGGGAGACCCTGCCTCAAAAACAAAAACAAAAATTAAGCCAAAAAGTCTGAAAATACCAACCAAAAGAAACGACACTCACCTGGCCACCTCTAACCTGCTGTGCTTTTGCACTGTCTCAAAGACTTGCTTTTCTGATTTTGGTGCTTTCACTAACAGTATTTGCAGAGCAGATCTTCCAAATGTCCTGACGCTGTAATATACCTCTGTCTGGACATAAAACTGTAGGCCCATTGTGCTTTCCTTCAAAAAGTATTTATAGGGACTTCTCTAAATATAGAAATCATTTGTTTAAAAGAAATGAATCCTACATATTTTACAATTGATTTTAAAAAACGTAACATCTTAGATATCTAAGTGGTTATAATACATGCTTCTGTTGTCTTATTTTGAACATTGTATGATGTGTCTGTAGTTTATCCTACTTTTTTTGTGTTTTTGAGACAGGGTTTTACTATGCAGTTCAGGCTGGCCTTGAACTCACAGTGATCCTTTTGCCTCAGCCTCCTGAGTGCTGGAATTACACGCATGTACCATCATGCCCGGCCTATCATACCCCTTAATTATTTACTTACTATTTATTTACGTACTTATTTTTGGTACTGGGGATGGAACTGAGGACTTTACATGTTAGGTAAGGCCCCTACTATTGAGCCAGCCCCCTGTACCTATCCTACCCCTGACTGGTGGACATTTAAATTGCTTCCAGTAATTTTTTTTTTTTTTTTTTTTGGTATATTGGGGATTGAACTCATGACCTTATGCTTGCCAGGCAGGCCCTTACACCACTGAGCTAAATCCCTGGCCCCAATTTTTTTTTTTTTGTACCAGGAATCAAACTCATGATCTCATGCTTGCCAAGCAGATGCTTATACCACTGAGCTAAATCCCTAGCCCCCCAGTATTTTCTATTACCATTCTATAACAGACATCTCTGTGCATATGAACATATGTACTTCTGTATCCTGAATCCTAAGAAGTACAATTGCTGGGTAGAAAGTATGCACTTTACATTTTTTGTTAAGTATTGTCAAATTGCTTTGCCTTTCCACTGATGGAAGATCAGAGGCTCAGTCTACTTCCTGGTCCACGTTAGAATGAATCAGAACATGGACCCATGGGGCCATGGAACCATGGAGCAGTACATATTCCCGGGGTGATTTTACTTTAACATGTTCTAATGCTTCCCAGGGACTGGTGGAGAAACTTTATTCCAAACTATGTATAAACATTCTTCTGGTGGCCTCAATTACTAATGCCATAGCAGCTTCCTCGAGGTTCAAACCTTGAACTTTAAAAAGACAGCTTGGGACTTTATCAATGTTTTTGGAACATTGAACACAGCTGTTTGCAGTCTCCCTGTTTGAATGTCCACCTTGTGTTCTTTGATACTGTGATTTGAGGAACTATTTTCAAGAAAATAGTGTGTAATCTACTAGCAGGTAATTTCTTACTGTTATGGTGTTTTGTTTTGTTTTGTTTTGTTTTGTTTTGCTTTGTTTTGTAGTTCTGTATTGCGTGTACCCTTACGCCGCTTTGGTTTGTTTTGTGTTTTTCTCTTTTTCCTCTTAAATAAAAAAAAAAAAAATAAAAAGACAGCTTGGACCCCAAAACAAGTGTACAAAAAGAACCCTAGAACTTTAAACATGGTTATATTTTTATAGGATGCCATTGGGCTAAACGTTTATGGAGTGCCTCGAATCTCTTCCTGGCTTGACCAGGAATAATGCCTCGACCTATGAAGCTCTATGTAAGCTCATGGCAAGCTGAGGAGGTTCCTGGGACTCCAGCTGCTGGCTGAGACTCAGCCTCACCTCCCACCTCTCATCCCCTGCCTACCCTCCCTGGGCAGTGTCACTCACGAGGGGTTCACTAGTTAGTTCCCTCTGCCTGCAGTGTTGGCCCCCTTCTCTCCTATGAGTCTATCAAGGCTCCCGGGGGACCACACCAGCATCCCAGGAAGTTCCTTCCTGCCACCCTTTGCCCCTCGGAGCCCTGCTGCTATCCCATGTCACATTGTATTGTCATTTTGTAAAACTTGCTTCTAGGGCTGGGCCTGGAGTGAGACAAGCAAGATGAATGAGAAAAACTTAAGGAAACTCTCACTCTCAGAGCTACACATTCAGTCTGAACACATACAAGAGCTCACTCCAGGCCTTGCTACCCAGCTGGCTAGAAGGAGTGGGCCTGATCTCTCCCAAACTGGGCGAGCAATGGAGTACACAGCCTCCCACCATGACATTCTTGAGATACACGACTCGTTAAGAGGAAAGTTTTGTTTTAGGTCGTGGTTTCAGAAGTTTCAGTCCACGGTCATTTGCCTCTTGTTTTGGGGCTGTGGAGAGGCTGAACATCATAGTGGGAGCCCTGGGGAAAGGAAACAGCTCACTTATGTTAGTCTGGCAGAGAGACAGAAGTTGGAGGGGGCAGGTCCAAGAATCCCTTCAAGGCCACATCCTCACTTCCTCCACCTGGGCTCACCTTTAAAGGTTCCACCACCACCCAGTAAGGTAGCAGTCTGGACACCAAGCCTGCAACATACAGGCCTTTAGGGACACATCTAAACTATAGCACTCTCTTTTGGAAAAGCAGATTTGTTTTTCCACAGGAAATTACAACAGGGCCCTTTCTATCTTCTAGACCTGAAAGGAAAATTTGCAAATCTTGATAAATACAGAAAGTATCCTAAACTGCCAAACCGTTTAGCGAAATTTCGCCGTTTCTACCATATTGAGTACTTCTTCCTGCCAGATGATGAAGAACCTAAACGAGTTGATGTGGTGGTGTTTCCAGGACTGGCCAGGGTGTTTCTGGAGTCAGGAATAAAGGTATGGGTGTGTGTGTGTGTGTGTGTGTGTGTGTGAGTGCACGTGTGTGTGGCTTTGCATGCAGCATAGTGCTCGCCACACACTGGGCTCCCTGTCAGCCTGCCAGATAAGTGTCCCTGGAGCTTGTTAGACCTACAGACCCTGGGGCCAGCCCAGGCATTCTGTGTGAGAATCCACACCAGCCTAAGAATACCACACCTCTGGCTTTTTTCTTTAGCTGTTTTTAATCAGTCGGGCCGTGGGTGTCTCCAAAGATGTGGCAGCTCTTGAAATTTCCTTCCTATGTGCATGCGTGTGTGTGTGAGCACGTGTGTGCATGAGTGTTTACATGTGTGTGTAAATGCAGCTTACCCACACTTGGGCACACCCCGCTAGAGGTTTGGCTTGGGTTAGAAGTCATCAGAGAGGACGTGACTTGCAGTTATCTGCTTTGATGTTATTTTTTCCAAGGAACCCAGAGCCTGGCAGAGACCAATGCATACTGCACCATTTCCTGCTGTGGGTTTGGAGCCGCAGAGAGGCAGGTGGAGGGTGGCAGTGAGAGGCCAGCTTGGTGAGCGGTGGTCAGCCCTGTCCACTGCTGCCACCCGCATCTGTCCCTCAGGCAAAGTCTCTGTGTGTGTTCTACATAGACTATGAAGCCATGGTGTGATGACAACAAGCTCTGGGTGTCATGGAGCCAAACTTTTAATGTCAGTGTGACAAAGGAATTATTAAAGAAACTGAATTTCCACAAAATCACCCTGAGGATCTGGGACACCAAGGACAAGATTTCGAAAAAGTTCAGGTATTATCATCCAGTGAAGACATCCTGTTTGTCAGATGATGTAAGCTCTTTTGGTAAGTCAGATGTCGTGGGGTTTTTCTTTTTTCTTAGTTTCATTTGAAATGTTTCTGGAAGCTTGTAATTTCTCACCACAGGATGACCACCCTAAGCCAAAACTTTGAGTTGGAAATTCTCCAACAATTGAAACATTTTGAGCACCCAAATAACCCAAGAAGTAGAAATTGCCACAGTTGACTTTATATGATAGGTCACAGTCACAACTGAGGCATGCTACAAAGACTATAAAATAATCCTCCACCGGTGTATGTAAGGAGTATCCACAACATGAAGGAATCTCATATACCTGTCTGATCTCCAAGGTATCCCAATTTATACGTGCAAATATTCCAAAATCTGAACACTAAATCCCAAGGTTTTCAGAGGAGGAATGCTCAATCTGTAGTATCAGGTCAAAGCCAGTGTTCCTTTGAATCTTTCATCTAATTTACCTGGTGTCTGTGTTGGTTTCTGCTTTCCTGGGACACCTTCCTCCAGGACATGCTTGAGGTATCAGGAAGTATCCTTTACCCTGGGGCCAGTTACAGTGTTGGTGGGCAGCGAATGGGGCCACTTTTTGGGACCTCAAAAATAGTATAGCTCAGAATGAAATCATCCCATTCAATCCCCAATACTGTAGTTAATTACCCCTGGCTGATAATCACTGATTTATATCTAAACTAATCATAGGAACATGTGTAAGAAAATGGGGTGCAGGGTAACTTTCCTCATCAGAACCAGATGAGAAACCCGTGTCCTTCAAGTGTGAGCTTCAAACCACCTGCTCTTGACAGATTCTAGACCCTGGCCCTGAGCTGCTGGTGATATAGGGGAATGAAACTCCCAACCTACTATGTCCAGTACAAGTTTGTGTTTTCTAAAATCAAAGAATGAATTTTAAGAACAACAGAGGTTAAGAGCAGAATATATTTATTGAGAGAAAGAAAGCTTCTATCTAAGAGAGAGACAGAAGAGGTCCCAAGCAGGTTGCCAAGGACTCTGTCTTTTCTAGGGACTTTAACAGAGTAAAATCATCGGGTAAAATGGGTTTAAGATGAGGAAAACTGGGAACTCAGAGGACAGATGGGCATAAAGTGGGGCAAAACTATGATTAATCAATAAGATTAATAGTTCAGGGGCCGGGAGTTTAGCTTAGTGGCGTAAGTGCCTGCTTGGCAAATGAGACGTTGTGAGTTCAATCCCCTGCACAAAAAATAAATAAGTAAAATAAAAATGATTAATAGTTCAGGTAAAATTGATCACATTAGGGACAAATGGGGAAGCGAGTCATGCAGAAAGCAGGCATTCTTAGAGAGCAGGGACTCTTCCCTAGGGTGTTAGAATGGTGACTCCTGGCTTCCTCAGGGTGATAGGGAACTATTTCCAGTATCAGACCTTAGGATGTGGATGCATTTGTTTGATCTTTTGTCTTGAGGCCTGGCCCACAGCAGGAGGTGTCTGTCTCCCCCATAGTTGCAAGGTATCTGGGCTTCTGCACTAACTCCTTTGAGGACCTAGACCTGTCTCACTGCCTACAGTATTTTTAACTAGCTCAGCTGTCTGCAACAGTGGGTTAGAGTTTTTGGCCAACATCTGCCCTGTGGTGGACTCACCCTGGAGAAGGGTGAGCCAGCTTTGGCAAGATGAGCAGAATCAGGTGGCTGGAAGAGAGAGGGATAGGGGCATTGTAGACCCCGCATGGAGAGCCCAGGGGCTTTTTCTGAGTGTTTGTGAAATGGTGGCATCTGATTTTTTTTCTGCCTTTTTTTTTCAATCAGGACTCAAACTCAGAGCCTTGTGCTTGCCAGGCAGGCACTGTGTCACTGGGCTATATCCTGGCCCTACTTGCTCTTCTTTGACCCCTGTTCCAAGCTTGGCATCCTTGCCTCTCACTTTAAATGTTTTAGTTTTTCCATGACCAAGCAGTGTATATTCACTTTGTAAGACAATTTAAAAATAACACAAAGGAGAAAAATTAAAATCACATGAGACCAATTCAGAGCTAGTCATCGTTAATGGATTTTTTCCCTGGGGATCTGCTGTCCCTGTAGTCTTAAATCCTGCTTTTTGTCACTGCCGAACAAGAGTACAGACACAGCACTACCTTGGTACCTGTCATTAATTGGTTCCAAGGGGCACGATGAGTCCTAAAAATGGTAAGTTCCAGACAAATTGTGTTGGCTGGACAGGGCAGCAAGGCACTGGACTAGACAATCGACCCTGGCAAGTTCTTTATTTTTGGAACTGGGGACCGAACTCAGGATCTTGCACTTGCCAGGCTGGCACTTATGGTGCTGAGCTAAATCCCTGCCTCTGATCCTGATAAGTTCTACCTTGCACTTAAACCAAAAACAAGGACTGGGACAAAATTTTCACTCCTGGTGCATCGAGTACCAGATTTGCTGAGTTTCAGAGCAGTTGAGTGCCAAGGTCTGACTGTTTTATTTCTTGGGGTGGCAGAGGCACTGCGAGGTGTGTTTGGTGCACAGTGATGCATCTGAATGTGTGGTGGATCAAGTGCCAGGACTTGTTAGCTTCCAGCCCTGTGGTGTGAATAGAACCCCCAACTAGAGTTAACATTTCTCTTTGCTTCCATCTGCTGCATTGCTTGGTTTCTCATTTTTGCCTCAACCCACAAGAGCTCTCCGATGCCCTCAGCTCCTGCTACCAGTACGCGCACCTGTTTGGTATCCCCACCTGGGGGATGTCCTGTGAAGCTCTTCAGCCTGAAGCTGTGTCCTCTTCGGACCCTGCTAGGCCGTGCTCAGGTTTTACTCTGTCCCCCTCTCCTGGCCTGACTTCCAGGACCATGGCCTTGGCCCTGCTGCTCCACTGCTCTGCACTTTTCCTGGCTGCCCAGTGACCTAGAGAACTGATTCTGGGCATCTAAGTCTGGCCCTGAAGGTGGTTCGTGATCTGCTCCCCGGGCTTCTTTTTGGCTCCTGTCTTCACGCCATGTTGTACCGCTTAGTTTCTGAAGATACTGCGGTCCGAATCTCTCTCAGAGCTGCCTTAGTTGCTAGCCCTACCTTGGGGGTGCCACAATTTTTGTCTGTCCTTCAACACTGAATGAAATCACGTCTTCTGTTTTTTCCCCACTTTTTTTTTGTACCAGGACTTGAACTCATGACCTTATGTGTGCCAAGCAGGCACTTATGCCGCTGAGCTAAACCCCTGGCCCCATTTTTCCCACTTCTTTAACATCCATTATGTTCATTGACTGATTCGTTCATTCATTCAATGCTACATTCACTATTCCACATATGCTTGTCACTGTTATGTGTGTGCAAGACCCTTACTGACAGAAGGAGAGGCACAGGGGCCCTAGTTAGAGACAAGGGCCTTCCTGTGTAGCCCTGGCTTTGCTGAGGACCAGCTGTCTGGCCATAGGAAAGTTACTGAAGCCTCTGGTGCCTCATTTGTAAAATGGGAGGATGGCGTTGCTTCCCTGGAAGGGAAATGCTGCGATTCAGTGGAATAACAGCCAGCAGGTGATGAATGATCTCACTTGGGAGGGCCACTGCTGATTGAGTCTGAGAATCTCACCCAAATATACGTGTGATTGCTTTTTTGAGTTTCCCAGTATTTCGGGATAGTGTCGTGTGCCACAATTCCAGGAGGGGAGGGACCTCACTGATCTGTGTCTAACAAGAAGCAAGCAATTGTCCCACGTACTATTCAGTAGATAGTTATAATTGACTGAGTCGCTGATGTTTCTTCTGCATTCTAGAGGAAGTGAGGAAGTTGGTTTTAAACCAGAGAGAACTGTCTGAACCAGACCCTGAGAGAACTATCATGATCAGGGAGGGGTGGAACGAGGAGTCTCCACCAGAAAATCAGGAAAAAGCAGAAAAAGGTTCGAAGTCTTTGCCAGGTGAGTAGAGATGACTTTATGGACAAGCTACATGCAGCAAGAGCCAGGTAGCCACAGCAGTGAGCCATGTTGAGATCCTGTGCACGTACTCTGAAGCTTTCTGTGAATCCACGCCAACTGCTGGGCAGGGGGTGAAGGGTCCTGTGTGCTGGTCCCCCTGAAAGGGACACTCTTTGTTATTGATTCTTTTTCTTTAGTTTCACTTATTTTGTGGCTTATAAAAAAAGCTTCTCTGACTCTAGAAGTTATATATGTGGATTTTAAGAAAATCTAATGAAGAAAACATATTTGAGAAGCAGGGGGAAAAAATCTGTGATTACATCATTAACTGCAATCAGTGTTAATAGTTTGGTTTTCACGATATAGCACATCTTTGTTCTGATTGTAGGATTTTTTTTTGTACATTGACAAGGTTTTTCTGGATGCATACAGTGCTTCTGTGTTCTAAGATTGTAAATAGATCATCACACGCATTTCCCTATTTATTTAAACACTTTCCATAAACTTCATTTGTGGGAATTACATAGGATTTCTTCTGCAGATAAGACTGGAATTCACTTAACTATTCCCTACAGCTGGGAACTTGGGAATCTTAGGAGGAGTTGCAGTATTGTCTAATATAAACAGTACTGAAATGGACAATTTAATAGATTTTTTCTTCTTTTGTTCCCCCTGTGGGAGTAATTTATATAGAACCAGAGGGTTCCTCTTGCTTCTGTTTGTCCAAATACTTAGAATTCATTTGGTCTGTATAGTTATCATTTATTTGCTCAGTTATGATTAACAAACCCTGTTTACTAAATGCTTTCCATGTCCCAAGTATTCTGCCTGCAGACGGGCGTTACAGGAATGTGTCAGGGGTCCTCAGTTCCTAGTCAACCAGCATGGAACAAGTTTGATGACATTTGCTAACATTATCCGGTTCTTACCAAGCAGTGCTGGAATCTTCTCCTGGGAACAGTGAGGAATATGAAAAGTCATCCAAAATAGATGACCCTACCACATTTCGGTAAGGATGAAACTATGTTACTTTGAGGGATGGAAATAGAGCACCTCTTACACTCACCCAACTGCGAGTTGTGTATACTTTGTAGTGATTCTGGCCAACCAAAATTAAACCATAAATCCAACCAAAATTAAAGGCACAAAGTGAGAAAGGGAAGCTTGCGTGTGAGCCATGCATCAGGTGCCGTGCCTTCTCTGTGCTGCACTTTATCTCATGCGATCCTTGTGATGGTCATTTTTTGAGGTGGTTTTATTTTCTCCACTTTCTGTACAAGCTGACTGGGTGATTCAATGACTTTCACACAATCGCAAAAGTAGAAATTTTGGTTAAGCCAAGATTCCAAACCAGGTCTTCAGACTCCTGAGTCTGGCCTTTCCTGTTGTGAGCTCATTACTTTTTAGGGTCTCTCATGGCCCAAGATGGGTCTAGAGAAAGGCTTCCTCAAATGCAGTGGTGACTGAGGAGAAAATGGAAACCCAACTTCTGGTTTGAGAGATCCAAGTAGAAAAGCCAGGAGCACATGGCATTACACAACCTTAATTTTTTAAAATAATTAGATCTGATTGTATTGCATGCTGGACTCAACCATCTCCTGCCTGAGCCTCCCACATAGTGAGACCACTGCCATGGGCCACATGCCTAGTGAACAATCTTCATTTTTAAAAATTATTTTTGCATTGACTTCATAGAATAATTGGACACAAATTGACCTTTTTTTCCAACTGTCAGGTTACAACAACCATGCTTATGATTCTTTCCTTTAATTCAGACCTTCCTTTATATTCTTTATGGGAGTTAAATTTTTTCCCACAGATGCTATGGGTAATTCTTGTAAGTGAATTCCTAGATGTTTTATACTTTTAGTTATTTTTTATAGGAACATAATACTTGCCATTAAATTTTTAATTGGTTTGAACTTTAATGGTTCAAGTGTGGTCTGAGGACCAATGGTGTTAGCATTGCCAGAAATCTTGTTAGAAACACAGTACAGAATCTCACACTTCCTGAACCATAATCTCTGTTTTACTTGCCAAGATCCTCAGGTGATTCACATGCATGGTGAAACTTGAGAAGTCCTGGGATAGAGGACTACAATGCCATTTAAAAACTCTGCCTTTGGTTCAGTAAATTAAACTGTTGATCTCTGACTTTTAGCTTCATTAAATTTTCTCTTTGTGGATTTTCTAGGCGAAGCACTTCAAGAGCAACAACTGCCTCTTTAATGGGGAAAACCATGTTGGAGATCAAGGAATTAATTGAAAGAACGTCATTTAGCAGTTTAACAAACATGGCAACAAAGTCAAGGTCTCTAAGTAAGTTAGGATGGGATTTTGGCATTTTATGTTACTAGACTTGAAAATTATGAAATACTTCAAATTTATTATGCTGCAATATGGAATGTAATGTTTTAATGTATGACCAAATAATAGCTGTTTTATACACTTTCAATTTACCAATCTCACCATCAGTCCATCATCTGCCCACCAATCTATCCATCTTCATCCATCTATCCCTATTCATCATCCATCTTCTACCCATCCACATATTCATCCCCCACATATCAATCCATCCTTATAATCTGTCTCTGAATCCTTCAACCCATTCATCCATGCACCTGTTCATCTCTGTATCATCTTAATCCATTCATCCACCCACTCATCCCCTTGTCCGCCCATCCATAGCCTATTTATCCATCCATCCCATCCCCATCTGTTTCATCTCCACTCCCTCACCCTGAGCATCCCATCCATCCACTTTGTCTACTCCATCCATTCCCATCCCACTCCACCAGTACTTTTGTGTTCCTGATCCGTGTGTGGTGCCTTTGGGGACATGAAAATCTCTAATGCCTAATACCAACTCCAAGTAAAGAATTCCAGTCCTGTGTGATAGATGTGGCAGTAGGGATAGGTGTGCTACCAATCAGCCAAGGGTTCTCCTGCTCATTTCAGATGGAAATGATGAATTGGCAAAGTGCATCTGCGCTAGCAGTTCTGATGTCTCTAGGTAATGCTAGATGCCAACAGTTGAAACAGCCAGCTGCTGGCCCTGTCACTGTTGACCATCACCATCTGCTGCTGGGTTGTGCCATAATGTGATTCTCCTGGGTCTCTGCTGCAGGTCCCTATTGGTTGCTGGTCCTTTGAACTCATTGGCATTTATAGCCTTGAGTGTTTATTGCTTTTTCTTTGGAAACAACCACTCTATTCACAGTACTTAGGATTTTTTAAAAAATCCCAAATAGATTGAGTGTATGGTATGTTGGGAAGAATAAAAGAGAAAGGGTTGTGGGGAGACGTTTTTGAAAAATAATAATTAATTCGCTTCTGGCAAAGGACACAGCACCCTGTGTCATGGATCCTGCTTATCAATAATCTTAGTCACAAGCAGCTAAGAGAAAGGAATCCTCAGAGCCACTACATTTGCTTTCCTATTCTTGGCCTAGATCTCCTCCCCAGAATTCCAGTAAGCAATTGGATTTCTAGTATAAGATGGAAAGTTCTAGAGCCGGAGGATACCTAGGTCACCACCTGGGATGGGCAGTTTCCTCATCTCTGAATCAGCTCCTCTGCTGCTTTCTAATACTGACCTGGCTGTAGCTCAGCACTAGAGGCTGCAGATTTTCAAGTTCTCTGCTGGGTGCTGGAGACACAACTGAATAAAAACCTTCCTATTTTTAAGGCCTCTCAAGAATAGTCCACATTCTCGTATCTGAACATCTCTAAACTTCTGAGTTTCCCCTTTCCAGATTAAACAGCTAACTAGCTGGCTAGCTTGTTCCTTCCTTCTATCCTGTCTTCCTTTCTTTATGAACCAGGACTTCATGTACACTAGGCCAGCAGTGCTCTATTGGTGAGCTACAACCCCACCCTAGGACCACTCTTTATTTGTTGATCGATTTAAGACAGGGTTATGTAGTGGCCATGAGCTTACTATGTACCAAGCTTGGCCTCAAATCATGACAATCCACCTGCCTCAGCTTCCCAAGTGCAGGGACTACAGGCATGCACCACCATGCCTGGCATCACTCTTTCTAAAATGTGCTTTCATAGTAGCACATGCCTGTAATCCCAGGACCTAGGACATTGAGGCAAGAGAATGCCTAATTCAAACCCAGCCTGGGTAAATTACTAAGACCTGTCTCGAAATAAAAGATAGCAAAAGGACAGGGGATGTAGCTCAGTGTGAAAGCCCTGAGCTTTCACAGTACCAGAAAATAAACTAATAGGTGTGCTTTGAGAGCATTAATGAGGTTTTTGAGCTTTTCTTTTCTTTTTGCACCAAGGATCAAACTCAGGACCCAGTGTTTACCAGGCAGGCACTTAGGCTGCTGAGCTAAATCCCTGGCCCCTGAGCCACTCTTTTTTAAAATTTTTGAAATAAAAAGTTTACAGAGACATATAGCACAATTTGGGTGCTAATATTTTTCCACATTTTATTTTTTTTAAAGTAATGAACGCAAAAGACATTTCTTTGCTTCTGACTTTTGAGGAGCATACCCTCCTGGACATAGAAATTGGTGTCCCCCATTATCTCTCACACATTTACACACTACTGGTCCTTGTTCACGTTAGTTACAGGAGGGCTCTATGCACCCCATGCTGGCCTACAGTTTGTTTTTTACACCCTACTTGACCTCTGTGATTCTTTCCTGTCTGTTGAGTCCAGCAACTTCATTCTGATTTTGGCAGTGTGCATGGCTGCATATCCCATCCTTCATCCCACTTGGTCACTATCAAGAGATACTGAGTTGTTCCAGAGTTCACTCTCCCAGCTCAGCTATAGGACCCTCGGTCACGTGTGTGAGCCCAGGGCATGGACCTGGTGGGATCCCTGGAGCGCAGGGTCCCTGCCCAGACCCCCTGCTAGCTGCTGCCTCTGGCTTTACCTCATCACACCTTTGTGGCAGTGCTAAGGACCCCGTGTAGTGAGTCCAACCTTAAGCTCCTGGTGGCTCATGAGATTGAGTGGCATTTCACAGACACATTGGCCCCACTGTTGTGTGATTTACCCGTTCATGTTGCTTTACTTTTCTGTTGGTTTTGAAATTGTGTTTTGCTCCACAGGCTTCAGTTTTCCATGCGCTGGGTAATCACAGTTGTCAGTTGTGTGCCTGTCCTAACCCTCCCATGCAGGGCTCTGTGACTTTTCTGTCTTGTTTTGCATACTATTTACTATTCCTTTCTGGCTCGTGCTTCTGTGATTTTAAGGAGACTCTTGGTCGTCATAATGTGTAGTCCCCTAGGTGTTTGTTTAGGGATTTTGCTAATCTCCGTACCATTCCAATTTTACTCTATGTGCTGCCGAAGTATGCACTGTCTAAAGGATTTGGAGGTTTGACTTTCTGCTTCCAGTCTGGAATTGGTCTTGTAGATACACAGCGCAGCCTGCTAGTTTTGTCTGGTAGGAGTGCACAGACCAGGTGATTGCACCTTGCCCCCGGGTTTGCAGTGCTACCCGTGAGGTTCCCTAGGTGTATGTCTGTTTCTGCACATTGGCATCTGTCCCCGCATCTTCAGGCCATGGAAGCAGTAGCTCACATTGTCTCTACTTCCTGCCTCATCCGAGCGCCGTCCCGAGCTGCAATCTCTGTGGTCTGGCTCCTTTGTCCCCTTCGCACCCTAACAGTAGGTGATGCTGGCCCCGCTGACCCCTGCAGGTAAACTGAGGCCCAGAGTGGTTATATGCGCTCACGTGGCTGCTGCTCAAGAGGAGCAGAACTCATTCTGGTCTTCTGTGGGTCAGCTTCAAATCTCCACCGCACCTGTGGGAGAGAGCAGACCGAGGGGAACTTGGAGTGGGGCGCAGTGTGGCATGGCGACTTCAGGCCTTTCTGCCTATTCTCTGTAACAGCCATGGGGACAAAGACACCCCTCCTCCACTCCTGTGAAGAACTAGCAGCTGCTCGGTCTTCTGTATGTAGTCACAACCCCTTCTGCTTGCTGGAAGAGGCGCAAAGACAAAGGACAACAGCTGTCTTCAAGCAACTTCCAGCGTCTTCTGGAACCTCTATAGTGCGCATGCGTGTGGACGTGTGTGCGTGCGTGCCTGCGTGCAGGCGGGCGTGCGTGCGTGTGTGCGTGTGTGCGTGTGTGCGGGCAGCTGTGCGTACTCACATATGGCAGCTCATGAAGATTGCTTGACATTTCTTTCCTGTCTTTGATGACGCAGCTAGAGCAAAAGATCTTGAACTCAGAAAAAAAGCCTACAAGAGAATGAAGAAGGCTCCAGTCATGGAGGACAGAGACCCCAAGCTGTCGGGCTGCTGGAGGCAGAGTGCCTTCTGCATCCAACTGGCAGTGACGCCGCTCCTCGCAGGTAGCTGAACATGTTTTCTGCCAGGGTTGGCTGTCTCGTCGCATGTGGTTAGAACACAACATGTGGGACCCTCATGACCAAGCCTCTGCCCTGTGTCACTCATTTCATCTTCTACCCTCCCCAAGAGAGTCAGGGTTGGTATCTCCACGGTACAGAGGAGAAAATAGGTCCAGAGAGGGTGAGTGCAGTGTCTGAGCTTGCACAGCTAGGAGGTGTGAAGCCCAAATTTGAACCTAGGTTTGATTCCCCAGCCCAAGGAAACCTATGAGAATAATAAATATCGTGATTTTCTTGTTTTCCAACTAAGATGCTGCTCTTCGTAAATATTTTCAGAAATATTTAGTGATGAGAATGAAGAAAAGGAACAGGTTTTTGCTGAATACATAATAGGTGCTAGCATGTTAGGTGTGTCACGTCACTTATGACAAACTCCTGTCAGGGATCCTGTGTACTGGTGGCAGAGCAGTTACCATTGTTGACCTCTTTTTCAGGGAGGGAAAACACACTCAGGTCACATGACTTCCCCAGGGCTGCCCAACTCAGGGGCAGAATAAGAATTTGATTCTTTTGCTGTTTAAGATTTATCACAATTTATAAACTTAAGTTTTCTGCATTGTGGTAAAAAATGGATATTATAGTCACACATTTTGATTGTGGAAAGCTCAATGTATTTTGGGTAAAATCATGTGATTTTGTTTTTTAAAAAGATAGTGGAAAAGGGGCTGCTACTGCTTTCTTTTGCCAGTACTAGAGACTGAACCCAAGGAACTGTGCCACTAAGCTCTACCCTTAGCTCTTGTAAGATTTGATTTTGAGACCGAAGCTTACCAAGTAGCTCAGACTGGCCTCAAATTTGAGATCCTCCCGCCTCAGCCTGCTGAGTAGATAAAATTATAGGCATTTGGCACCACACTCTTCTTCCTCTTATTCTTCCCTTTTCCTCCTCCACCACCTCCTGTTCTTCCTGCCTCTTCTTTTCCCCTTCTTCCTGCTGCTTTTTTAAGAGAAAGTTCAAGCCCTGTATCAGCTGTGCTGCAGGATCTGCACCATGATAAAATCACCCCACAGAATTACAGAAAGCAAAACCCCATCAGATTCAAGCTTGGAGCTGTCAGGACAATCATTATCGTCATGGCTCTTGGGGAGATGTTGATGTTTTAAAAAAAATACTGACTTTTTTAGATGTTTTTTTCCCCTAGCGTTGGGCTTGAAACCAGGGTCTTCTCTACCGTTGAGCCCCACCCCACTTTAACTGCATTTTTCATGAACTTTGGAAACCAGCCGCACTTGTCTTGTAGCTTTCTGATCTCTGCTGGAGGGGAACCCCATTCAGTGTGAGTAGCTTTGGAGCCTGTCTAGCTGCCTGTGCCCAGGATGGATGCTGCTTTAGTCCTCAAGTCCCAGAGGAATTATGAGGCTCCAGTGGAACACTTATGTGACCATCACTTAGGGCCTGGGCAGACTTTGCTCCCTTGTTTTGCTGGGCCAGGAGAAGCTTGAGTTGTCTTGGCTTGTGGGCACGACAGTCCCTGAGGTGAAGCCACAGCATGGCTGTATCTCCCTTTTCTATAGCCTGTTCTGCCATGGCTGTACCAATCAGCAGTTAACAAAAGAGTTCTGGTGACAAACTCACTTCAAGTCCTGGCTCAGTCACTTACAGACGGTTACTACTTTCACAAAGTGAGGGTGACTGTCACCACTGCACAGCCTGTGTCAAGCTCGCCGGGGAGAGCATGGTATCAACTGCTTAGCATGAATCCTTGAGCACAGTAGGACCTTGAGGGGTGGCTGCTTCTCCAGGATGTGCATGGGTGCTGGATGTTCAGCAAGGAAGATGGAAAGGTACCATTTTCATAAATAGCAGTGTGGGGTTATCCATTCCAAAGCCTGCATACTTGTTTTTGATAAACATCTCCAGTGTCTGATTAGGCCATATTATTTATACAGCTTTTTTTCTTCTTCTTGTGATTCCAGTCATTGAACCTAGGGCCTTCATGCTGAGGTATATCCTCAGGTCTGGAATTTTTTTCATCCCGTTTGTCTATCTATCTATATCTACATAAGGTCTTGTTAAATCCCTAAATTGCCAAGACTGTGCTCAAACTTGCAATCCTCCTGTCTCAGCCTTCCCGAGTGCTGGTTCACCTTTGTCATGAATATTGGCTGACTGGTAACCTAGAACCATTTTAGCAAGATTCCATATTAGGCAGTGAACTCTGATTGGAAAAGGAAATGGCATTGCATAAAGGGGCTGAGTTGAGTCCAGCAGGGCTAGCTATATACTCTCTGTTCTATGACTCATCAGCTAGGAGACTTCCACCAAGCACTTGACATCTCTAGGCCAGGATCCTCTGTAAAGTAGAGGAAACAGCAACCGCAGAACCCAGCAACAGCAACCCAGATGACATTAATGCGTGTTTGGGACTGGCCGCTTAGGTGCTCACGCAGTCTCCCACCAGCCTTTTCCGTATCCACTGGGTTCCAGCTTGGGGCCCTTCAGTAGAGTATGAAGAGAAGCGCATGCAGTCGCAGCTGGAGGTGGGTGTTCCTGGTATCTAGTGGGATGCTGCCAAATGCCCCATAGTGCAACAGTCACCTCTAGAAAGAACAAGCTGTCCCCAAAGGTAGGGGTACTGGGCTGGGCTGGGCTGGGCTGGGCTGGGCTGGTGGCTGACATCACTGGATCATCAGGAGGTGCTTTGGGTTCTTGAGTGTGTTGGACATTGCTTCTGCCTTGGGCCCTGACTTCTGTAAAAGACTGAGAAAGCTGTAGGCCACAAATCCTGATTAGCTGCCCTTTCATTTGCTTTGTGGGAGAGCCACAGGAGAACTGGGAGGGCTGCACGGGACATGTGCCACCTGTGTCACCTTGGTCTACAACTTGCTGGACACGTAGCTACTCTTTTTTTTTCCCATACCAGGAATCAAACTCAGGACCTTAAGCCACCAGACTATATCCCAGGTCCCATAGCTACTCTTTTTCTTTAATTAGTTGCAGAATATTCCATCCTGTGGACCTCCTATAACTATTTATTTACATGTTCTGGGCACTGAATCTGAGGCATCTCCTGTAACCTTGCATTTTATTTCTTTGTTAGTTGATGTCTGCGATACATAGTGAACACATTCATGGTGGGGGATTGGTGCCAATCTATTTCGCTTTTGCTTCTTTTTACTTTCTCTTCCCTTCCTTCCCTCTTCCTGTCCTCTCCCTTCTGCCGCCCCCCTCCTGCCTCTGCACACGAGCAACTTGGCTTTTATGCATCCTTGGAAAATAATTTGCAGTGGGCCCAGGGATTTAGTTCAGTGGCTAAAATGCTTGTCTTATAAGTGCGAAGTCAAAGTGCGAAGTCATGAGTTCGATCCCTGTAACCAAAAAAATGAAAATAATTTGCAGGCACTTAGAAAGAAACAGACCAGTCCTTTCCTAAGTACATGCCACATGCCGTCAGTGTCCTTGGTGCCACTTACATCCCTGTGTCACATCACTGTGGCCATTTGTTCAAAAGCATACCAGCCCTGGAGAGACTCTAGCTTGTCAGATGATAGACAGTCAGATTTAGAATTTAATCTCAGGCCTCTCTGCCTCTAGGTTGAAGGCGTTTCATTTTACTTTTGTTATTTTGTATTGTTTATTGTACTTGTTTTATTTGTGCCTGCCTCAGTATGTCTCTGGCTGGGGGGCACAGGGACCAGTTTTGTAAGAGAGGTCCTCACAGCCCCCTTACAGTGCCCAGCTCACCTGTTCATTTCTTCCAGTTGAAACTATTGCAGGACCTTCATGGTGGGAGATGTGGCATGTGTGGTTTGGCTTAAACATGCCACTTACTTTTTGTTTGAATATCTATGTATTATTTGCTCATTTTTGTGTGTGATATTAGGGATTGAACCCAGACAGCACTAAACTACATCCCCAGAGCTGGGGATATAGCTCAGTGGCGTAAGTGCCTACCTGGTAAGTACAAGGTCCTGAGTTCAATTCCTGGTAGCCCCCGCTCAAAAAAAAAACTACATCCCAGCCCTTTTTTAAAAAATATTTTGAGACAGAGTCTCACCAAGTTGCCCAGTCTAACTTGCAGTCCTCTTGCCTCAGCCTCACGGTAGCTGGGATTCCCGGCATGCTTCAGTACACCTTGTACAGTATTTACTCTTGAGGGTATTCTGCTCTTTAGTAACTGCCTGCAGCAGCTCTGCCCTGAGTAGAGCCAGACTCCCTGTCTAATGAATTGTCCCGTGGCCACATAGGGCCACTGGCACTGGGAACGTGGTAAGTATGGAGAAGAAACTGCGTTTTAAATTTTACGTCATTCTAATTAAACCCTGGCCATGTATGGACAGTTGCTACCACAGTGGGTAACACAGGTCTAGAGCTTTTAAACTTTCCAGTGCGGAGGAGGCTGTACTCCAAACCAGTTATGTTGGACTGTGGGGTGATGCCCTCACATCAGCATTCCTTATGGTGTTCTGATGATCACCAAGGTTAGATGAGAAAAATTGTTTTCTTAGAAAATGGATAGGATTTCAATTTGCGAAGCTGTATAAGTATGCTGGCTGCAGGCATTTCCTGATTTTTTCTTTTACATTGTAGTTTCAAGAGCTTTTCTCCATTACTCTGTGCCTGTCTGGGGTGGTCATGAGTTCAAGTCTCACGCTGTGCCCTGTCTCCCAACAGGGCAGCAGGCTGTCATGAGCCGTGCCAGTGAGAAGACTGCCAACATTTTAGATTGCCTTCTGACCTTAAAAACAGAAGTTCCTATCATGACAGAGGAGCAAAAGAGGGACTTAAACCCCCTGACCATAAAGATTAAGTGTGCTTCCTGCCTTCCATCCCAGCCTGTGCCCATTCAGGAGCTGGAGGTAAGGAGCCAGGCCATCTGCACCAAGAGCACCCTCCTGGCTTCCCTTACGTGTCACCGCTGGCTCCCAGATGCCCTGAGTCAAAAATGTCATCATCATCCACATTTTACCATTTCAGATTCCACAGGGAGCCCCTGAGATTAGACGTTGGCAAATCTGAGGCATCCCACCGTACCACAGTGCTCTTCCACAGAGTTGCCAGCTGCTCTTCAGGCACTGTGGATTTCCTGGTGTAGTAGCAGTGCTCAGCTCGTGAAGCAGCCAGTTTTGAAGGCATTGTTCTATCTCTATTCAGTGTTGAACCTTTGTGTGAATCCCATTTTCTACTTTCTCAAAGCTTGTGGGATCTTTTTTTCTCCTGAAACTGCTTAATTATGTGTCTTCATGTGAGCATATCCATGGACATTATAATTTTAGTTTATAATATAGATGCACAGGAAGTTGTAAAGATTCACAGGAGGACCCTGTATCTTTCTGCTGTGATGCGGGGGTTATGGAACTGTAGCATACTATCCAGTCATTGCTGTGACAGTGGTCTAACATGTATGCATTGTTCTGCCATTTTATCATGTGTAGATTAATTAACATTGCACTCACACATCACAGTTACAGAAACATGATTTTAGCACACAGCTGCCATGGTGCCACCCTTTGGTTCCCTTACCTCCTTATCCCGGTTACCTCTAAACGAGCTGATTCTTCATCTCAATAGTCTGTTCATTTAAGAATGTGACTGTTATGGATTGTGCTTTTCATTTTTCATGAACTCCCTTGGGAAAAGAGTCTTTACAGAGGTGATAAAGGTAAAATAAGTTCCCTAGAGCAGGTAGTCATCCCACAGAGCTAGGGAGACTGATGCGCACACAGGGAAGATTAGCTAGGATAAGTGGATTAAAGCTGCTCCCACCGCGGCTGAAGGGACCTTCAGAGGGGGAGCATGGCCCTGCCCACATCTTGGTTTCTGACTTCCAGCCTTTCAAACTAGGAGACCATCAGTGTCTTGTTCCAAGCCATACACAAGGCCTTTGTTATGGCAGCCCTGGAAACTCAGATAAACGTAACCATCTAGTATATGGGCTTGGGAGATGGTCTGAGTTTTTATTTTATTTTCACTTGGCATTCTTTCCTTGAATACAGTTTGATCATGTTTCTTTGTTCAGACGCCCTTTTAATTGATGTTTTTATATTTAATACAAATGTTGATTAGAGTTTAAGTGTGCTGGCTGGTTGGTTTTGTTTTGTTTTGTTTTGTTTTGAGACAGGATCTTGCTCTATAGTTCAGGCTGCCCCTGAACTCACTTTGTAGCCCAGGCTGGCCTCAAACTTTCAGCAATCCTCCTGCCTCAGCCTCCCGAGTGCTGAGATTTCAGGAGTGCACTACCATGCCCAGCCAAGTCTGCTGTTGTGATTTTAATTTTATGTTATTTCTGTGTTTTATGGATTTTTAGAATTATGTTTTAATATATATAGTATTTCTCAATCTTTTTAGATCAGTATCATTTTAGTAATACTGTAAGTTTTACCCACATATAACTTTGTACAGTGTCAACATTTTATCAGTTTGAGTGAAGTATAGAAAATTTAGTCCATTCCAAATGCCTTTACATTTCTCCATTTGCAATTTGAGTTCTTTTTTCGTTCTTTTTTTTCTTACAATTTGGTTTTCTTAAATGTTCTACACAGATCTTGTTCCATATTAGACAGCATTATACGTGCACGTGTGTGTGTGTGTGTGTGTGTGTGTGTGTGTGTATGTGTACGCGCACACACGATAGTGGGGGTTAAACCCAGGGCCTACATAGTGAGCTATATCCCCAGCTTTCACCAAAAAATTTTTTTTCAACTTTGAGATACGGTCAATTCTGAGCTCAGACTTGTAGCTCTCCTGCCTCAGTGTCGTGGAGAGCTGGAGTTACGGGTATGCAGTTCTGCACCTGGTTTAGACAGTGTTAAACTTTTTCCTTCATCTGTCAGACTTCCTGGTAAAGGAAGGTGAATTTAGCCTTAGTTTTTCTCTTTTCATGATTCTCCTCTTCTACTGTTCCAAGATTTCTTTTGTGATTCCTATTTTAAGAACTTCTTTTTAGCCTTTTAGATCTGTTGAAGACAAATTTTTTTAGTTTTTCTATGTCTGAGGATATTATTTTTCCTTCATTTGTGAAGGATACTTTGTTGCATATAGAATTATAGATTATAGAGTTAGGAAAATTTCTTTTAAGAGAGGTTTTGCTCTTTTGAAGTAAATGTTGTATTTCTGATTGTCAGTGTGAATCTATTGCAAGATACTTTGGTAATATTTTGGGGGGAGTCATATTTTTATAAGAAGATCCAGTTTCAGATTTTTAAAGTTACTATTATTCTTGCCAGTTCTCAAGCACATATTGTTGTAATACATTTCATTTATTTGTAGATCAATTTTATATTGTACTATATTTCAGGGAAATGGTTCCTAAAGTGGGCTCTGGAAAGATGCAAGAAAAAAGTACTGTGTTCTGTGGTCAAATGTTGTGGATAATAACAGCAGTCACATCCTCTGTGGTGACTGCAGCAGACACTTGTGTACTAAAGCTCCAAAGTATCCTCCAATAAAGAAATCTGTTTAATTTTCCAAAAAAAAAAAAAGGATTATAGATTATACAATTTCACTGTGTGGAATTCTTACAGAATAGGATTGACAATTCTTTATATTTTTTTCAGTATTTGCAAACTGTAGCATTTTCTTGTGGCTTCAGTGCTTTCTGATGAGAAATTCTCTGTCATTTAGATATAGGTAAGGTGATATTTAACTTTTGCAAATTTTAACCTGTTTGCTCTTTTAATATGTGGGCTTATTTCTTTAGATAAATTGGAGGAAATTTCAGAATTTTCTTTGCATATTGTTTCAGGACCACTCCCTTCTCCTTGTCCTGTGGAACTGCAGTGCATGAATGCTGGGTGGATTACCTGTTAGACAGACCCCTCATGTCCTCTTGATATTTTGGTGTCTTTTTCCCTCCTCTCTGTGGTTCAGGCTGACTCTTTCCTCTGGCCCTTCCCCTCTGCTCTTCAGCCCGTGCAGTGAGGGGTTTAGTTGTATTTTGTTTTGTTTCTGATTATATCGTTTAGTCCTAGAACTTCCATTTGGCCCTTCCTTGTTTTGCTTGTGATGCTCAGTTTTCTCATTTGTTTCAGCATGCTCATTACTGCTTTAAAATCCTTGTCAGATGATCCCGAGACCCATGTCCTCTCAGTGTTAGTCTGTTTATTATGTTTTTTTATTTGAGATTTTCCAGGCAGGACAAGTAACTTTAAAAGTACATGTTGGGCCTATTGGGCATCCTGAGACTGTGCCTTGTTAAAGTCTATTTAGCAACCTCTTCTCACCCACTGGAGCAGAGGAGATGCCATCATACTACTGCCAGGTGTGGCTGGAAGTCCAAGTCCCATCTGCTGGGATAGAGGGACCTCCCTTCTGTTCCCCATGCGGCCTTTGCTAATAATCCTGCCTGGCTAAACCTCCTGTTCTTTGCATGTCAAGTAATTTTGACTGCTATGAAGATCTGGATCTGGTTTAAATACTTGGAAGATAATGGCATTCATTCATTCATTCATTCATTCATTCATTCATTCCAGCCCTGGACATTGAATTCCGAGACTTCACCAAACTGTATTTGTAGCCTGTTTTGTTTTTGATACTGAGACAGGATTTGACTAAAACACTACGTTGCTCAGACTGGGCATAAACTTGCCATCCTCCTGGCTCAGCTTCCCAGAGTGCTGAGATCAGCGGCATATGCCATCATGCCAACCTGTTTTTATTGGATAACCTACCCAGCGAAGGTGAAGCTGAAAGTTCCAAATCACGTTCTGTATAGGCTGTAGCTGCAAAGATTTTATGGTGATGTTTAAGCCCCCCTGCCCATGTGCTGGCCAGGACCAGCCTGAGACCTGGGGAGGATCTGAGACTCTGCGTCAGGTCTCAGAGCCTCTGTGGGCTGCTTAGCATCTGATCTGTGCAGGGATGGGTCTCTGAGTGTAGACTGGACTTTAAGGCTCCTTTTCTCTGTGTCCCTTCTTCTGCCATCTCCCACACATTCTCCAGCTCTCGAGGACTCCTTCCAGATTCTATGACTGGAAAGGTATGGCTTTGGGGTTCCTACTGTGCCATGTACCTGTGCAACAGGGTCTCCCTCCCAGGACACGTGGTTGGAAGGTACACAGAGGAAGGTCTGCAGTGGGATCCTCCCTGCACTTTTTAGTTCACTGCATGTTTGTGATGCATAATGAATACATCCATGGTGGGCCACTGGCACATGTATGTATCACGTCTTTATCCTTTTTCCTCATACCCTCTGTTTGGAGACAATTTCCTGCTCAGATTTTTAGGTGCTTCCCAGCTGTTGATGCTGCTGCCACCAAGTACCAGCTTTGATCTTCAATTTTCCCAGAAGCAGGATCAGGCAAGGAGAACAACAGGACATTTCTCCTGCATTCTCTGTCCCTCAGCGGTCTCCTCTCCCTCTTTGGACTAGAAAGAGAAGGCTTGTTTTATCTGTCCAGGTCTATACACAATTCTAGGATTCAGGCTTCCTTTGAGTTCAGTCTGGGACGTAATGGAGGAAAGCAAAATGCAAGAAGCTCCTGGCACTCTCAGTTGCCCTTTGGGTGTGGTACTTCTCAGTCTGCTTGGGGCCTGGAACTTTGGCCCCCGGTTCTCAGCTGCTTTCCCTAGAGGGCCAGGGTGGATGCGCTCACTCCATGGAACTAGACTGCCAAGCTTGTCTTGTACTGTTTTAATGCTTTTATTATAGATATGTGGAGGTTCTTTTTATATTGTGGATACAAGTCCTTTGTCATATACCATCTTAGCCGAATTGGGCTGCTATAACAAAAATACCATAAACTAGTGGGTTGTAAGCAGCATAAATATACTTTTCCCAGCCAGGGAGATAGCCCAGCACCACTGTGCCTGCCTGGCAAGCGTGAGGTCATGAGTACAATTCCTCGTACCAAAGAAAAATTTTTTACTTTTCCCAGTTTTGAAGATTGGCAGGGCCTAGATCAGGGGAGCAGCGAAAGCAGGGGAATGAGTGGGTCCCATTCCTCACAGTCAGCACCTTCACACTGTATCAGCTCATGGCAGAAGGGGCTGGGGAGCACTCTGAGCCCTCTGCTGTAGGGGCGCTAATCCCAGTTCCTGGGGGTGCGTCCTCAGGACCATCCTCACTTTCCAAAGGCCTCAGTTTCTAGTCCTTAGGTTTTAACATGTGAATTTGAGCACTACAAACATTTTTACCATATGGCCTGGGGTGCAGCTCTGTGGCAGAGCCCTTTCCTAGCATGCACAAGGTGTGATCCCCAGAACTGCTGACAAAACAAAGCAAGACAAAAGCAATATATTTAGATTCTCGCAGGTACAAATATATGCTAAATACTTTCTCACTGTCTGGAGCTTGACTTTAATTTTCTTAATAGTGTCTTTAATAAAGTCTAATATATCAATATTTCCCTCTTTTTGAGGCAAGGTCTTACTTGTAGCCCAGGCTGGCCTTGAACCCACATCAATCCTCTTGCCTTGGTCCCTGCCACCATGCCTGGCAGCTTTTTCTGTTAGTGGTTTTTGTGTCCTGTTAAACATTTTTCCACCCCAAGTTCATGAAAATACTGTGCTTTGTTTTGTTCTGCAAGATTTATAATTTTAGCTGTTATGTTTAGTCATGACCATTGTCATGACTGTGAAACTGATGTCTTTATTTAATCTTTAATTTCTCTCTGCAGTGTTTTTATAGTTTCATTTGATTTCTTCCTAAGTTTTATAATATTGTAAATGGCATTTGTTTTTGGTACTGGGAATTGAACTCACAACCTTGTGCTTGCCAGACAGGCACTGTGCCACTGAGCTATATCCCTGGCTAGAGTAAATGGCATTTTAAAAACTACATTGTAAACTATTCATTTAGTAAATAGTAAATAGCGACACCAGAGCTTTTACCCTGATGACTTTCTTTCATTTCCTGGAAGTTGTCAAATGTTTCATACTTGTTTTATACGTCTGATCATTCTGATGGTGTGTGCTTTGTATGTGTGCTTTTGTGAGTGGGATGTTTCTCCTTCAATGTCTTGTTAGTTGGGTGGTGATCTCACAGTCATGGGAACTTTGATGGTGGGGATTCTTTTCAAAGTGAATTTCTCCAGGGATATTTTTAAGTCTCTACCAAGGACCTGGGAGCACCACTGGTTCGGGATTATTTTAAACTAAACTCTCAGCCATGGGTGAAAATAAATAGTACACTTGGAGGATAAACTTATACTTTGGGCTTAATTTTTGATTATAAACTCTTTGCAGTGAGATTACAGCGTGCACATTTCCCTGCCTTCTTCCTCGAGGCAGCTTTGCTGCTCCTCCTGCCACCTCCTCCACCCCCACTTTGGCCCGTGCCTCTGGGGGGGGGTCTGCTTCTCAGGGTTGCAGCTTTCAGTGTGGATACTGCAGAGGGGAGCTTGTGCCAGCCCTGCAGGTGGATGTCTAGACATCGTCATATTTTCAGTATTTTTCCTTTTTTGTTTTATTTTGGGGTTTTTTGGGGGGGAGGTTGTTTGGTTTTTGTTTTTTGGTGTCACTGGAGGTGGAACTGGAGCTTCACCCAGGCCTGCCACTGAGCCACACCCTCATCGAAAACTCAGCTCCACTTTTTCTGTGCCTAGCCTTGGGATACAGACTAGAAACACAGGTGTGAACAGATGCTTGCAAAGGTGCTTGCAGTTCGGCAGGGAAAATAGTGATTGACCCTTAGGAAGCCCTTATCTTGTGCCAGCCCCCACCCTAATCCCATCACCACCTGCACGATGCCATGTGATCAGGGGTAAGGAGTGGGCTGTCTCTAGGGGACTTATTGGGGGAAACCTGGACTCTCATGGCCCTGAGCAGTTAGTGTGACCCAGGGATGTGAGCGCCTCCCTTTCCTGCGGGCAGTGACCATGCTGCCCCTGTGACCTGCTGTTGGCTGCTCTCTCCTAGAGGTTGTGCACACCTGTGTACTGCAGATACCAGTTTCATAACACTCCAGTTCACCAGACCATGGGGGAATCCCACGGAACCCATGTTTATTTCCACGACATCAATGTCATCTTCCTTGGGGCCTTGCACCCTGGTGAGCTGCGGGAGTACCTGGAGGGCCCCCCGATGGTGGTGGAAGTTCACGACCGGGACCGCAAGGCTGTGGAGTCCTCCCAGAAGCCCATCCTGTTTGGAGAGGACCCCCTGGATTTGCACCTCAACCTCCAGGCCTTCATCTCCCCTGCAGACACAGAGAACAACCCCTTTGAGTCCCAGAAAAAGCTGTGGGACCCTTATGGAGTTGCTCAGGTCAGTTTTGCTGACCTCCTCCATGGCCACAAGTACTTGAACCTGGTTGTCCCCATCGTCAACTGTGAGCCTAGGTCCACAGGCCATGCCCAGGGCAGCAGGAGCAGGCGGCCTGATGTCCTCCAGAACAGCCCAATGCCCATGGGCAATTACCTGGATGCCAACTCGCAGCTCAAACTGCGTGTGACCATTGCAGTGCCACTGAGCACCAGGGTCGAAGTCCCTCAAGCAGACCTCTTGAAGCCTCTATTCGGCCGCATCATTTTTGTGTTTAACTTCAAGAAGCTGTTCCTTCTCCACAGCCTGCTGCAGGATATCACCATGATCAACGCCAAGGCCCTGGAATTAAACTCCTACCCAACCCTCAATGTCCAGCAGGTCCTGTCGGCCTTCAAGATGCGGGTGAAGGTGCAGGATCAGCCATTCCTGGATGTGCTCACCGGCTTCCACATGTGGGACGGCAGAGTCCACCTCTTTGTCCTCGAGGGCTTGGCGGAGCAGGGCCTCAAGCAGCTGTGGGACAGCCACCAGAGCCGGTAGGGACTTCCCCCACATTTCAGGTGAAAGCCACAGCGTCCAGAAGTGGAGGGGCAGGAGGCCTTCCAAAGCCAAGGCTGGTCCTTGGCCTGGTGTCCTGATGCCCTTCCTCTTGGGGTTCATCAGACTTAAAGGTGTTTGGAAGAAGGCTAGATTTGGGGCTAGATGGAGATTGGCTGGTTCAGAAGATGGGTGCCTCCGGCTTCTGAGCCAGGGCTACCAAGAATAATAGTGCAGAGGGTTCAGTTCAGTCCAGGATGCCCCATCTGAGGGTTTCAAGGCTCCAAGGGCTGCTGCAACAACAGAAAGTTGCTCTTATGTGGAGGCTGTGGGGCAGCCAGGGGTTTCCACTCAGTGGGGACTTGGTAGACACATCTGAGTGTCCTCTCAGGGCCAGGCAGGTGGATGCTCATGCTCTTCAATTCTTTAGTTTTGGTGACATGATAATTCTCTCTTTCACAGTTTGCAAGTATCCTCAAAATAGGGGTTTCTTCTTTTAATGTGGACCTCTGTCCTCAGAGGTCCAGGCCCAGGCCCCACACAGAGACAGCAAGGTGTCCAGAAGTTGTATCTTTGTAATCCAAGCAGGGCCTGCAGCAGTAATGAGCCAGAGGTGCCAGAGAGGAGCCAGCCTTGTGTCTTGAGAATTCACCCTGTATAACCAGATGAAACCTTTATGCAGATGTTCATAGCAGCTCTCTCTATGAGTCAGCAAGCAGAAATAACCCAGATCCTCTCATCTGATTAGCAAACCTGTGGTGTCTGTGATGGCAGAATATTATTCAGCCCTGAAAAGAAGTGAAGTATTGACCCACTCACTTCAATGTAGATGCATCTTGAAAACACTATATTAAGTCAAAGGCGTCAAGGACAAAGGCACTCACTGTGTGACTCTATGTATGTTATGTGTGCAGAAAGAGCTGCCACGTAGATGTGGAAGTGAATCAGTAGTTTCCATGGATGCAAGGGAGGGGAAAAGGTGGTTAATGGGTAGATTTTATTCTCAGGGTGATGAAAATATTATAGAATTTGGTAGGATTTATAGATACATGGCATGGTACATGTATTAAAAACCATTCCACTGTGCACTTTAAAGGGGAAATTTTAAGCTAGGCACCCCCAGATTCTCTCTAGCAGTTACCACCAGGGGCAGCTGGTGGAGAGAGGCCATGGCCCAGGAAACAAAGGAAGCTGTTGGTGGTGTGTGCTTCAAGCCTGCAGCTGTGAGTGTAGGAGGATGAGCAGAGGAAATGAGCTGCCCCATGAACACCTGGGGCCTTAGCTCTATGACCTCCCCTTTTGCTGGGCACAGGCTGCTGGGCCTGTAGTGGAGCCCGAGAGCCAGCTCCAGGGAGAATTGGGAAGCGTGGGTCCTTCGAGCAGTGAGGACCGTTTGTTTGCGAGTGGTATAAAAGAACCCAATGTGAGAGGCTTCCCTGCAAAGGGGGGCTAAAGTGCGGAGGTGGACGGAGTGTAACAGATGATCAACTGTTGTAACTTTTGATGATCACAGTACAGTTGATAAAGCTTTGTTCAGATGTACTACATTGTCGGTGTGCAGTGGAAAAGGCCCTTTTAAGATACGAGACACAGTCTTCTGGAAGACTGAGAGGCCATGGGGGAGGATCTGGCAGTCGGGGAGGAAACTTGGGGAGGTAGAATGGTGGCAGGGGCTGGAGGACCCTAGGGTTACAGTGAGGAGGAATTTGGGTAGTGGTGGGGGGAACGAGTGATTCTGGAAATTACAGCAGTAGACACCAGCAGTACAATTATGGACTCAGAAAGGAGCGGTTTTAGTGGAGGAGGCTCAGGCAGTTACTCTGGCAGTTAGAAGTGGATATGGTGGCAAAAGAATCGAAAGACAATGGAAGAGAGTGATCACTCTTACCAGGAGAGAAAGTCATTAGGAAAGCTTTCTTTTACTGTGAGATAGTCCTGGGTTCTTTAGAGAAACTGTAACAATCTACAGGACAAAAGACAATGTGCATTCAAAAAGATCACTGCAGTTTAATCAGGAAGCCGTGCTTGTTCAGGACAGTCCCGGCCACACTTTGCAAAAAGTCTGGCTATCAGTGAATGTGATGCAGTGACATGTAGGTATACATTCTAGGTCTTTCATTGGTTTCAGCCTTTTGCTTTTGCTTTTCACTGTATCATGTATATTGCTCTAAAAATTGTGACAGAATGGTATTAGGAATTTTGAAAAGTTATAGAACTTTAAACTTTTAAAATACCTCTTACATTAAAATTATAGCCTTAGATTTGAGAGGAAAAGGCTAAAAATTAATGAGATAGGACTGTAGATATTGCAGGCATTGATATATATATTTCAAACTGCTGACAAATTTTAAATTTTAAGCAAAAAATTAAATTTTATAAAACTTGAAATCAGTATCGAAAACAACACAGATATGATAGTTTAATGAAATTTCTGGACATAAAAGTTGGTAAAAAATGCTATTAAATTTGTGAAAACCATCTATTCCTAAAAACTAATTTTAAAAAATACTTGAAGTATAAACATATGAAATTTATAGGGATAGATTTGACATAAAAACATGAAAAGACTCCATCATAAATATTACAGAACTTTCAGAAACATTTAGAAAAGACCCCAATACAGCTGGGTATGGTGGCACATGCCTGTAATCAGGAGGATTACCTTGAGTGCAACAGCCTGGACTATACAGTGAGATCCTGTCTCAGAAAAAAAAAAAAGGAGGAAGAGTAGAAGAAGCGGGAGGAGAGGAAGGGGAGACAGGGAGGGAAAGCGGAAGGGAAAGAGGAAGGGGAAGAGGAAGAAGGCCCAAATAAGTGGGAAGAAATACGCTGTTGTAGATGAGAGAACTCTAAATCTTGAAATATCAGTTACTCCTAAATTGAATCAATAGATTCAATACAGTCCCAATTCTTTTTTTTTTTTATCTTTTTCATTTTTATTGGTACCAGGGATCGAACTCATGACTGCCTGCTTGCAAGGCAGGCACTTATGCTGCTGAGCTAAATCCCCAGCCCCTACAGTCTCAATTCTAAAACTCCAACATTAAAGTCTAGAACTTCAGTAGTTCATTTAAAAATGTACATTGACAGGCGTGACCCCCGCTGATGCTGAGGAACATGTGCCACCCTCAGACCTTGGCCCATGCTTCCTGCATGACCCACACCAGCCACGCCACACTGCCCTCGGACCTTGTGCCCATGCCACTGGGCTTCTTTTGCAGCTCCCACGTGCCTGAAGGAATGCTATGCCAATGGCCACTGCCCTTGGCAACCCTCCCCATCTCCTAGACCAACTACTTGATCTTTGGCTCCCACTCCTCCTCCCAGAACCTTGAACTGCAGTGGATTAACTGTGCTGAGTTGAAGGGAGACTCAGTGATCTCTCACCCAAGTAGAAGACCTCAGCAGGCTCCAATCACCATGCTCCTGTGCTTCTCTGGTGTTCGTCCTACAACTTTGTCATGGTTTTATGTTGGTAACCCCCAGGCCACATGCATTTGCATTGTACATTTGTAATTGATTCATTGTCTAGTGCTTGGATTGGGCGTGTGAGTGCTACACTGGCCTAGGGATGGAGCCAGGATATAATGTAATGGCAGGAAGAATGTGTGTCTCTCTCTTTCGCTGGTTTCTGTCTTGCTGCTTGCAGCGACCATGAACTGTGGCCCAGCCATGCCACCCTTGCCTTGGAGCCAACTGAGTATGGACTGAAACCTCTGAGAACAGTAAGAAATAAACCTTTCCTTTCCCAACTTTGGGCATCAGGTATTTTGTCTCAGCAGCAAGTAAAAAGTAACTAAGACAAACTTCAACAACCAGTTGAAGTTACAGCTTCACTAAGTAGAATAGGACCAAACAGGATGAAACAGAATGAACCTCCTCAGAACAAAACCATGAAAGTGATATAGGACTTCACAACAAGATAGTGCTCCAAGGACACCCAGACTGAAACCATCGGCCTGCCCCTTGGCCCAGGACTACCTACGCTGCTGGGCTGTACTTCCCATACACCCGCCAGACACCCGGACCTAGAATGCCTGCTGGCCCCTCAAGACACTCCCACCTCCTGGACTTAATACTGCTCTTGATCTTCAGCTCCTACCCTTTCTCCCAGAACCTTGGACTACTGTGATTAATGGTGCCAGCTTGATGGGAGATTCAGTAACTGCCTCACCCAAACAGAGGATCTCAGCAGACTCCAGTCAGTGGGGTGAATATGCCCCTAAAATAAAGGTGTACTTTGGGTAAGTAGGGCCAGTAGTAAAGCTCCCTCCAACTAATTGTAAGACCTTGGTGAGTCTGTCAAGAGTGTGGGTGACTCCGTCATGCACACAGAGAACATCAGGCAGGGTGAGAAGTGTGCCAATAAGGACTCCCCCAACTTGGAGAAAATCAAAAGGCCTTATGAGACACACAGGCACACAATAGGAACACAGTAGGGCCTCAGCCAACACAAACAGGGAGATTTGGTGACCTGGAATAACCTGAAGATAAAGTAACAGCAGGAACTAAAAGTTGACCTTCATCAATACTAGTAGGCTCGTTAGCCCAGGAAGAATATAAGACTCACCCAGCAGGCCTTGCAGGGGGAAGTCAGGTGACTGGCCCACCTCTTCATTGTGGAACCCAGCAATTGGACAAACATCAACCTCACAATAGGACCCCAAGATAAACACTACCAACAGTTGACACTAGTGGGATTGCAGGGCCAAATATTAACTTGAAAGGGGAAAATGGCAAAAGAAAAAGGCAAAATGCAATCTCAAACATCTAGTCTACCAGGAGCAAGTACAGGAGACATTGAAATAGAGGATTTCAAAAATAATAACTAGAGAGCGGCTCCTGAGATCCAGCCATGGTGGAATTTAGGTGGCTGCACAAGAAAGAACTTTGCCCGTCTTCCTGATAAACACTCCTAGCGTGGGCCAGGAGAACCAGTCAGCAGCTCCCGAGATCCAGCCATGGTGGCATGAGCCAGAAGAAGAACCAGTCAGCAGTTCCTGTGAGGCTACCTGCACTCGAGCTGAGAATCAAGCAATCCCCCCTGTCCATTAGCTGGGGACAGAGATCTGAGCATCTCTTGGGAGGATGACCATATGCAATATAGCAAATATGGGGGATTTTCTTTTATCTTCTTTTTGAAGGCAAATGTTTTCACTATTTTGTTTTGTTATGATTGTTTTGTTGTATTCAATATTCTCTTTCAATTGGTTTTATGATTTTGGTTTGATTTTGCTATAGCTAATTGACTAGACAACTATTGTGAAGATAACAAGATATACTATGGTGTCTATTACTACTATCCCAGTATCCTGCTTTTGATGTTCTGTACCAGTTTCACTCCATTGGCCCTGTTGGCTTTGTTCTGTCTTGTTTTATTGTATTTTTACTAACTTCAAAATAAAATTTAAAAACACCAGAAATCTCTGAAAAGATAACAAGTGAGATAAAAAAACAACTCCATGAGGCTATAGGGGAAATCAAATTAGAAATAAAGACAGAAATAACAACCTCATGTAAAGACAGAAATAACCTTAGTAAAGGAGTTGCTCAGCACAGCTAAAGAAGAAATAGATTTTTTTAAAAAAGTACAGGAGCATGGGAAACTGATTGAAACCTTGAATGAACAATATAGAAAACAAGCAGAATTCATGAAACAAACTCAAAGAGACATCCAAGAAACAAAAAATTCTATTGAAAGCTGGCAAAAACCATTTAAATGAAGCTGAGGATAGGATTTTGGACCTTAAGAGAAGGATTGCAATTAGTGATCATGAGGATAGAACTTTTAAAAATAAGTCAGCATGAAATGACAATCCAGCAGCTTCAAGATGATGCCAAGAGAAACAATATAAGATTAATAGGCATTAGTGAAGATGCAGGAGTCAGTGTAAATGACATAACCGAAATGTTCACAGAAGTAATAGCAGAAAATTTCCCAAATATGGGGAAAATATGTGATATGCGGATGAGGCATATAGAATGCCGAACAATCACAGTCAACATAAATCTATACCCAGACATATAATAATTAAGATCCCAGACATACAGCATAAAAGCAGAATACTAAAAGCTGTTAGAGGAAAGACACAACTCACCTATCAAGGAAAGCCCATTAGAATCACAGCAGACTTTTCAGCACAAACCCTCATGTCAAGATGAGCTTGGAGTGAGGTATTTCAAGCCATAAAGAAAACAACTTTCAACCCAGACTGATGTACCCAGAAAAACTTGCAAGTTTAATGGAGAAATAAGATACTTCTATGACAAAGAACAACTGAAGAAATTCATATTCACCAAACCAACCCTACAAAGAGTATTGTAAAACATACTAGATAGAGTTAAAAATGACCACAATCCCCAGAACAACAACAGAAAGAAACCACCAGGTAGGACAAGCAATTAAACAAGGTGGTGGGGGGGGAGCAAAAAGCAAACAACTGGAACATAGCGTGGCAAAGTTGAGCCAGTATATATCAGTTATATCCCATACATGTAAATGGCCTCATTTCACCCATCAAAAGAAACAAGTTGACAGAATGGATCAAGAAACAGGATCTCACAATATGCTGTATACAAGAAACACATCTGACCCCACAATAATTGTATGGTCTGTTTCTTGGCACCCTTCTCCATCCCACTGGTCTGTGTGTCTGTCCCTTGCCAAATACCACAGTCTTGGTTACAACTGAATAGTGATGTTTTCTACTTTTACTCTTTTTCAAAATTGTTTTAATTATTTTGGTTCCTTTGCTTTTCACATAGACTGTCTAATAAGCTGTTCATACTCATAAAGCCTTTGCTAGGATGCTGTGAAGAGCTGTGCAAAGCCTGTATGTTGTCTTGGGGAGGGGAGAAGTGTACCTTTGCTGCGCTAAATCTTTCAATCCACAGACCTGGCGTGGTTTTTCGCTTATACCTTTGGCTTCTCTCGTCAGCAGTTTGCAGTTTTTAGCATGTACGTTTTCTGCATGTGTCGGTAGATTTATATCTAGGTATTTTATTTTCTGAGTATAAATAATATTGTATTCTAGATTTCAGTTACCAAATTGCTACACTAGTTTACTGAGCAGTTTTTGTTCTTATCTTTGTTTTGGAAAGTTTCTTGGGATTTTCTGCATAGATCATCACATCATCTGTAAATAGGGATAATCAGGTTTCTCTGTCCTGTCTCTGTGCCTGGTTTTCCCGTTGTACTGGCAATGCTTCCAGCACCATTCCATTCTCTCTAAGGGCGGTGACAGCCGACATCCTTGTCCTATTCTGATCACCCCACTGGGGGTCATATGTAGGGTTTTAGTCAGTTTGAGGAAGTTCTACCCTTCCTGATTTACTGAGGGTTTGCTCATTTTCTGGCTCACACAGTTCATGGAAGCTAACTCCAGGTCGACTTAAACCCTACTTTAAAACTATTAATTTAGAAGCTTGTCATGGTGGCACATGTTGGCCTGTAACCCCAGCATTTGGGGGACTGAGACAGGAAGATCATCACAGGTTTGAGACTAGCCTGAGTTACATAGGGAACCTAAGGCCAGCTTCAATTACATAATTTAACCTTGTCTCAAAAAAACAAAAAATAATTATTTTTAAAAAACTAAACTATTAACTTTGAAACAATTATAGATACACAGGCTGCAAATGTAAGTTTCCATGTGCCCAGTACCTAGCTCCACCTGGTGGCAGCATCTTCCGTAACTCTAATGTTTTGATTGATTAAAATGGGACACCTAACTAGATTTCTGTGATCTTTGATTTCACCAGAAAAATCTCTTTTTGAAAAGCAAAACTAAAGCATTTAGGTGATAAATTAAACATGTCTGTGACCTCACAATAGAAAAACAGTTCTTAAAAAGGACAGTAGCAGAAAAATAAGGGGAAAGAATGACACATTGGGCTATGTTAAATTCAGCAATTTCTGTTCATCAAAAGATAACTGTCTTAGTTATTTTTTTATTTGACTCTGAGACAAAATACCTGATACCCAAAATTGGGAAAGGAAAGTTTTTTTTTTTTATAGTTTTTGGAGGTTTTAGACTATACTTAGTTGGCTCCAAGGCAGGGTGGCATGGCAGGGCCACAGTTTATGGTAGCTGTAAACAGCAAGGCGGAAACCAGCAAGAGAGAGAGACACACCTTCTTCTTGCCATTACATTGTATGTTGGCTCTATTCCTAGGTGGGTGTAGCACTGACATCATTAATCTAAGAGCTAGACAATGAACCAATCACAAATGCACAATGCAAATGCATGAGGCTAGGAGCCACTGACATAAACCATGACAATAACATAGGAATTGGAAAACAGCAAGCTGTGAGCAGGAAAAAATGTCCACAATGTGTTGAACAGAACTAATAACCTGAACATGTGAGACATCTTGTGAATGAATAAGAAAACTGCACAAACCCAGTAATTAGCACTGAGCTATGGCCCAGGCCCATGGCAAACCCCTGCCGCTAAATTGCTTGGTTCAGCAGTCTTCCTGCCTCAGCCTCCCAGGCATGTGCCACCACACCCTGCTCTTTTGTTTTAAAGGAGCAAAAATAAACCCCTGCCAGACGACAAAGCCACTTTTCCTGCAGCAGTGGAGCCACCTGAGTGCTCTCCTCTATGGCTTCCCTTGCAGAATCCCCAAGTCCCGGCATGGCGAATACAAGGTGTTGTACAACTCACAGCTGCTGTTCCACCACAGACTCTACGCAGACCTGGAGACCATCCTGTACCAAGTGCACCTCTCCAGGCCCGTGGCGCTTCTCATGCAGCAGCAGGCCCTCTACCTGCGCAAAGCGGTGCCACGTACAGTCTTCCAGGGGCTGGCCAGGTACGGCTGGGGTGGATGGGGGAGGGGGTGTAAAGGGGGGAGGGTCTCCTCAGCCTCATCCCAGCTAGTAAGTGGGGCACAGTGGAACCTGTGTATGATTCCTGCACTCAGGGAGGCTAGAGCAGAGGGATCAAAAGTTTCACCCCAGCTTGGGCAGTTTAACGATTTGGTAAGACCTTTTCTCAAAATAAGAACTTTTTAGAAAGGGCTAGGAATGTAGGTCAGTGCAAAGATGCCAGGTTCAGTCTCCAGTGCCACAAAAACTCATTGTAGTGGTAGCAGTGGTAGTGACAGTAATGGTCATCATAATGGGAATAGAGAAGGTAGTGGCAGGAGGAGAGAAACCAGGCGGCTGCTCCTTACTCCCCACCCTCAGCAGCTGCCCCGGAGCCAGGCAACAGAGGACTGGCAGGAGCCCCCAGCGGGGAAGCCATCGGAGGAAGTACTGAGCGTTGGGGTCCTAAGCCTGGAGGTCAGGGGATGATGAGACCCCATGCTGCATGCCCACAATGGGAGGGGCTGGGTACCCTGTCAGGCAGAGAGAAAAAAGCTATTTTGGTAGCAGGGATCAAACTCAGGACCTCGTGCTTGCCAGGCAGGTGCATATGCCACTGAGCTAAACCCAAGGCTCCTTTTTAAAAAAGTTTTGGGGGATTTTGTTTTGTGTTTTTGTTTTTGCTTTTTTTTTTTTAACCTTTACCAGGCTGTTGCTTTTGCCATTGAGCTGAATTTCCAGCCCAAGAAAGCTATTTATTATGTGCAGGCAGGAGCTGCTTTCACCATGGGTTTATTCCCACCTGAAAGGGGAGGAGCAGAAATCGAGCAAGTCCGATGCAAAGCAGGGGCCTCACCTCGGATTGCACTCCCAGCAGGAGTGCTGGGCAGTGCCCATGTGGACCTGGCACTGCCATGCTGGGCCTGAGAGGGCACCAGGGGAGCACTTTTTAGTTCTTTTAGTTTGCTTTTTTGTTGTTGTTGTTGTTTTTGTTTGGTTTTGGTGTGGTACTGGAAATTGAACCCAGGGCTTTCACACTGAACTACATTCCCAGTCTCATGAATTTTTTATTTTGAGACAGTGTCTTGCTAATTTCCCAGGCTGGCCTCAAACTTGTGATCCTCCTGACTCAGCCTCCCAAGTGCTGGGATTACAGACCTGTACCAACATGCCCAGCTCCAGAGGGCCTTTGCAAGGAAGGGTGGGAAAGGCAGGACAGCCATGCAGTCCTTAGGCCATGCTCTGAATGAGGCTGGTACACTCGACCTCCCTTGGTTTGAGTCTGAGACCCTCTGACACCAGCCTGCTGGGGCTGCTCCACAGTAGGTGCGGGTGGCGAGGGACACAGGCAAGGCCAGCCACGGAGAAGCACTCCGAGCAGGTGTGGGCGGCCCTTAACATCTAGGGACACAGAGGAAGAAGGGCCACAGACCAGGCTCTGCTAACCCACTGCTCCGAGCTCTCATTGCCTCCTGTAAGACAGGGACTGTCGTCCGTGTCACCAGACAGGTGAGGCTGAAGGGTTGCTGTTTACTCCAGGATCCACGACATCTGCCACGCCAGCTCCCAGCTCAGGGAGGTGATTGTGAGAGACCTGCTGCCTTCCTCTGCCATGCTCAAAGACTTGAGCCAAGAGTTTGGGGTCCCCATCTCGAAAGAGGACCTCACAGATGATCAGCTGCTGGCCTTGCCACCACAGCCTTCCCCCAACCTGGAAGCCTTGCGGTACCGGGCCTTCACCCTCACCTCCGAGATCCTTGCCCACCAGGCAAAGTACCTGAAATGGCGGGCCACCATGCTGAGGAGGAGCCAGTGCCAGGAGAGCCTGGTCCAGGTGAGGATACATGGGCACCTGCCTCCAGCCAAGGGTCAGAGCAGACGTGTCCACTGTCAGTGCTGCCTGATGTCTGTCCTTCCTGCAGGTAAGAGGGAAGGTACTTAGGCATGTGACATTTGCCAGGGTCCCAGAGTTCATGTTAGAGAATGAACTGTCCCATGTGCATGCATGCATGCATCTGTGTAGTACGTGTGTGACCTCCTGCCTGGGCTGCTAGGGGGCCAAGGCAACGCAGGCTAGAAACCAGCCTCCCTCCCCCACCACCTCCATCCCTGCTTGTGGTGTCCAGTGAGTGAGGATTTTTGGCACTCAATCCAAAGTGATGCAGGAGAGATAAGGAGACAAAGCAGGAAGAGGCCTTTAATGAGGGCGTGGGAGAGCTTTATAGGGGTGTAGTGGACTACTTTTATCAGATTTGGCTTGGGAGGAGTTTGGGAGGTGGGTAAAATGACGCATTAACAGCTGATTTGAAGAAGCATCTGCCTGTGTAAAACAGGAGACAAATTTACTGGGGGCTGAAGTGGAGTCTTGGGATCTGGGAAAGGGCTCAGCACACATGCAGAAAGGGAGGGGAGGTTTATCTCTGGAACGAGAATGCAGCAGTTACTCTTGGAGAGAGTTGTCTGGGTTCGGTACTAAGTTGGGTGGATGTCATGTAAGAGATAGCTGAGCCCCAGGCTAGCAGAACCTGCCATCCCTTCATCCTTGCTTCTGCTTTGTCCCTTGCAGTCTTCCTGCCCTAGCTCTTAAGAGCTTAGAAACTGATTATTAGGTAGGTGCAACCCAATGAGTTAACATTAAGCCAGACATGGTGCTGCACGCCTGTGGTCCCAGCTACTTGGGAGGCTAAAGCAGGAAGATTGCCAGTTTTAGTCCAGCGTGGGCAATGTTAGGGAGACCCTGTCTCAAAATAAAATGAAAGTGAAGGGATGGAGATGTAGCTTAGTACCAAGGCCCTCAGTTCAATTCCCAATGACAGCCAGCCAGCCAGCCAGACACACACACACACACACACACACACACACACACACACACACACACACAAACACACACACCAGCAGCAGCAGCAGCAGCAGCAACTTGTAAGCATCTTGTGTGTGTTCTTTATGAAGACCAAAGAAGCTGGGGCGGGGGGGGGGGCGGTTTCTCTTTAGCACCCCGGCTTTTAGTTTTTTCCGAAGAACTTATTCTTACATTTATTAATTTTTTTCAGTTTTTCTGATTATTTCAGCTTTTATTTTCATATTTTAACAACACTTTGCTCATTTTTCTAGGGTTGGTTGATTTGTGGCCTTTTTGAGACAGGGTCTCACTTGGCAGTTCAGTCTGGCATGGAGCTGGCATCGAGCTCACTTTGTAGCCCAGGCTGGTCTCCAGCTTGCATAAGCGTGTGCCACCACACACAAGTTTGTTTGTTTTTTTTTTAGCTTCCTGAGTTGATTCTTACTCATCTGTATTCTCTCTTATTTCATAACACATGAACTGAATTCAGGCTGTGATCTTTCCTCTGGGGTATTGTTGGCCATGTTCTACAAAGCGTTCTATGCATTTTGTATTCTGGTTGTTCCCCTTAAATCCCTTACAAATTACAAAACAGTATGCAAGTACATGGCCAGTAGATAGTCCAGCATCCCCGCCTGCTCAGTCTTCCCTGCCCGCCCTCTTAGGGCACTTACTCATGACAAGGACATTTATGGGTGAGTTAATGTTTCTAGTCAATGCTATTAAACAGATCTTGAGAGATTTTACAGTAATGTGGTTGAATGGCATACTATGTTCATATACTTTTTAATAGCACGTTATAATCAGTTGGAATTATTGTTCCATATTATTTTTAAATTGTTTCTTTTTGAAATTGCTACTATGAAGTGGCTTGATATTTAATATTCATAGTAGGCATCTTACTACTGTGCTTTTCATTTATGTTTTGTGATGACAGATGATGCTAGGTACTTTTTGATGTGCTTATTAGCAATTTAGACATCATTGGTGTAATATGTTTCCTTTATTCATTGTAAAGTAGGTTATTGGTCTTATTGCTGAGTCATATAGATTCTAGATACAAGTACTTGATCAGAAATCATTCACAAATATTTTTCCATATTTGAGGCTTGTCTTAATAGTGATGAAAGAAAATATTTGAAGTGTAAACATTTCTTTTTTTCTGGCATGAGGAATTGAACTCATGACCTCGTGCTTTCTAGCAGGCGCTGTGCTGCTGAGCTTTATTCCTGACCCTCAACACTTTTTTTTGATGAATTTTATCAGTTTTCTCTTTTATTGACCCTGATTTTTGTGTCATAGATGGACCTCGAGATTGAACCCAGAGAACTCTGAGCTACATCCCCAACACCCCCCCCCTTTTTTTAAATTTTGAGACATGGTCTCATTTAGTTACCCAGGCTGACCTTGAATCTGCAGTCTTCCTGCCTCAGCCTTTGGTAGCTGAGATTGAAGGTGGGTGTCTCCAAGCCCAGGCTCCATGGTCTCTCTTCATAAAGACACCAGTCCTGTCGGATCCTGGTTCCTCCTGACCTCACATAACTGAGCTTGGGCTGGAGTGATTCCCGATGTGCTTATCTGAGTCAGCACCTTTCCCCTGTAGTATTATTTTGGTTTTCATTACCATGTATTCATGATATATGGGATTCAGTGTAATATTTATCTTTTTTTTTTGGTACCAGGAATCAAACTTAGACGCTTGCAGTTGCCAGGCAAGGAGCTGTGCCGCTGAGCTACATCCCCAGCCTGATACCACCGTACATGAACACCACGTGCACTGATCAACCCCCAACCATAGCACTGTTGTATTTGACTTTCCACATATGGAGAAGATATGTAGTGTTTGTCTTTGTCTGACTTATTTCAGTGAATTTCTCTCCACTTGGCTGCAAATGAAGGATTTGATTCTTCCTCCTGGCTAAATAATTGTGGTGAGAGCACCATATTTTCTTTCCCCGCTCAGTGGCGACAGACACCACGCTGACTTGGTACATCAGCTTTTGTAAACAGAGCTGTAGCAGACTCGAGGATGCCGGGGTCTCTGGGCTGCTTGCTCCATGCCCCTGGATATATATCCAGAGTGTGGTTGCTGCACCAAACAGAAGATCTAGTTCTAAGTTTTTGAGGCTGCTCCATACTGCTCTCCATAACAGCTGTATTACGAACATTCCTACCAGCAGCATATGAGTTCCTTTTTCCCCACCTCTTTGCTAGATTGATTGATTCTGCAATAGCAGGATTAAGCTGAGGACCTTTGCACTGAGGTATATCCCCAGCTCTATTTTAAAATTCTGAGACAAGGTCTCACTGAATCATCCAGGCTTGGGTTAAACTTGTGTCCTCCTGCTTCAGCCACCCACTCTTAACATTTTTTTAATCATTGATTTGATTTATATTAACCCTAACCCTGATGGGCTGTGTGTATGTAAATGTTTGTTGGCTATTTGGATTTCTTATTTTGGGAAATACCTATTCTGACCATTTATTCGTTTTAAAATTGGGTTACTTGGGGTTTTTATCTGGTAGAACATGTTAATGGCAGAACACTCCCTAGTTGGTTGTATGCCTTTGGTCACTCTCCAGTGACTGCTTTTGGCAGCCTTGTCATTGTTCTGGGGAGATGATTTCCTGAGCTCCCTGGCCCACCATACTAGAAGTTCTACCTCCTTCTGGCCCAGCTACAAATTTTGCTCATATCTATTTGCTGCGGTTTCTTGGGCTCGGGCCTCCTGTCCTGTGAATTTATTTTCTCCCCAGAAAGCATTAGCACATGGTAAGGGAGGCTGCTTGGGGCAGGGCCTTGGTCCACCCTTTCACTTGCACTGCAGTTGGGCTGCTCTGGGTTAGGGACTCAGATCCCCCACTTCGCCCAGAACTCCATTGCTCCCTGGGACCAAGGGCCACAAATAAGTCTAGTTCTTCCTACTTAGATAAAAATTTAGAATTCTCTAATATTTTAAAACTGCTATTAGTGTTCACCTCTAGGTGTCCAATAGGAGCTTTCTTCTGTTTTTAGAGAGAGTCCTTTTGTTTCCTTTCGGGAATGAGCCCGTTACTAAGATACTAGAACTGAAGGAGTTCCCTGTCATTTTCTTCTTTCCTCTTGGCCTTTTCCGCAGTTATGTGGACAGTTTGCCCAGGTCAAAAGTGGTGAACATGTTAACAGTGTCAGCAGGACTGACATCCAGCGAGGCTGTCTCTGTCCAGCCTGGTGTTCTCCTCCAAGCTTGGAGAATCAATCTTTGCCACTGTCCTCCTAAATCTCCCCCATCACAGTGCACCTGGGCTTGGGTTTTGCATTTTCAGTTCTGATGCTCATTATTTCTTTGAATCTTCTAGTCTTGCTACCCTCCTGTGAACTCCTATTCTGTGGACGTTGTTGGTTCTCCCTCCACCCTCTCTACCCAGGTTTTCTGATCCTCTTTTTGATCCAGGGCTGCTTTCTGGAAATACATTATAAGCTAGTTATTTGCATTTCCTTGGCTCATTCTGTAGCTGTATCATTTCTGTAGTATGTTTTATTTGCCTTCGATTTGTTTTTCTAGTACTGGGAACTGAGTCAGGGCCTTGTGGGCAAGGCAAGCACTCTGCCACTGAGCCACATCGCTAGCATTTTTAATTATTTCAGTTGTAAGACAGAGCCTCGCTGAGAAGCCCAGGCTGGGCTCTCGCTTGTAGCCCTTCTGCCTAAATTTTCCCAAGTAGCACAGATTATAGGCGTGCACCACTAGCTGGCTCCTTTGAGTATTTAAGTAGCTAGTACTTTTCTTTAGTCTTACACCTGCCTCATATCTCTGTCTGCTTATCAAAGAACGATTACATGTATCATCAGTGCTTTGCATTGATGCCCAGTTACCCTGTCACTCTGGTGACAAGTCCAGTTCCCCTGCTGGGGTAGCATTGGACAGAGAATCTCAGGCTCCCAGAGGGACTGCTGGCTCCTGCTCACTTTCCCTCGATCAAACAGTGGTCTGGCCAGAAGCATAATTCTAACTGTAAGGAAGAAACGGCACGGAAGCACAGCAAGGACCCACCAGCTGCAGGGTCTGAGGGCTCGAGGACAGCAGGGCACATCAACTTCTGGCAGTGGCAAGACTGAGTAGCTCTGCCCACCCTCCCACAAAGGACCCTCGAAGGGCAGGAAGAGTCGTGAGACACTGACTGAGATGCCACGTGGGCTGTGACAAGATTCGAGCTCTGTGACTTCTGTAATGTAGTCATGAAGAGCCCTGGCCTGGGCTTTGTCCCCCATCCAGTGACCGTGACTTGCTTTGCCTCTGTCCCTGCTGCTCTAAGCCATGGGTTCTCTCGCCAGAAGTTCCTTCTCTCACTTGCATCAATCAAATGTATCGCCTCCCCTGCCTGCTTTGTGTTGTTCCTCAGAGATTTCCCAAGACACTGGGGCTGAGGTCACCGTATTTTTAGCTGGGGATGGAACCCAGGGCCTTTGAACTGAACTATATCCCCAAAACTTTTAAAAAAATTATTTATTGAGACAGAGTCTCACTAAGTTGCTAACTTATCTCACTTGAACTTGTGATCTTACTCCTCAGCCTCTCAGATTAAGATTATTATTTTAGGAAAAAAACTTTTAAAGGAGAAGATTATTTTGCGAAGGTGACTAAGCAAGTGAAGGGCAAGCACAGTAGTAATTCAAAGTGACAAACTTTCTCTCTTCTCCCTCTTTGGAGTCTCGGCCACTTTCATTTTTCATTGTCATTAGTACTCACTAGGGCCTCGAGCGCACTCAGCCTGAGCTCACCTCCCGTCCTGTCCCGGCACCCTCCTGCTTTATCTTTTATTTCGTCTGCTCAGCCACTCGCATCTCACTGCTCTTTCCATCCGCAAAGGCAGCCTCAGCCCAGAGGGCGCCTGCTTTCGGCATCCTCTGCCAGGGGCACGGCTCTGCGCCCCTACTGGGCCTGCTGAGAGCGAAGGCCACAGTCCACATGTGCTCAGCACTGAAAGTTAGCCACAGTCAGGCCAGGCCCAGCAGCACACGCACCCCTGTAACCCCAGCTACTCAGGCTCAGGATGCGAGGCAGGAGGGCTAAAAGTTTGAGGCCAGTTTAAACAATATATCAAAACTCTGTCTCAGAAGGAAAAGGGTCTGGAGATGCAGCACAGTGGTAGCTGCCCCTGGGTGACACACCTGATCCCACACACAAAGGAAACTCTGGTCAGAGATGGCAGCCCCTGCGGGTTCCCATCCACACCAGGAACACAATGCCCACTCCTGACCCTCTGAGCTCATGATTACCAGCCTAGTGGAAGAACAGTAACCAGGTCATGAGTCTCCATTTCAGAACCCTGTCATGGTTCTAGGATGGAACAGCATCACTAGTTTCTAGGCTGAGTCGGGGCCTGCAGCTCAGCCGAATGGGAGGCCATCACATTGCACGCTGTACACTTGGTGATGAGGACCCCTGGCGTAGGTGGTTATGGGGTGTGTGTGTCCGCAGAGAAACATCAAAGAGGCCCACAAGGGCACCGGGAGACCTCCCTTGGGTGTGGTGAAGGTGCTGAGGATCTCTCCCGCCGCCGGGCCTGTGCACAACTACAGCATCCAGACCCTGAACTCCTCAGAGCTGGCCAGGAAGGAGCTATGCCGAGAGATGGCCAAGGTGTGCCACGGGCCCCTGGCACTGGCCAGTCATTTCTGACATCAGGAGGGGGCCTTGGGGGTTGAGGTGAAAGCCACTCAGCTGGAGGAGCAGAGGAGGGGTCCAGCGCTGGGAGGAGAGTCCGGGTTACAGGCAGGAACCAGCAGATGCCTGACTCCCGGAGGGCTGGGTCCCTGTCGGGAAGAGCCTTGGGCTCGTAGCAGGGGGATCTGCTTCAACTGTCAAAGGAGACCACCACCACCACCCCTCAGGGGACACACAGTCACGCTCCCTCAGCATTCTGTGGCAACTCGGCCATATCCAGAGCTGCTCCTAGCTGTTCTTGCCACCTCCCCCAACCCCCAACCCGTCTGCCCCTGGTCTCCAGGAGCCTCGGAGGAGATTAGCGTACTCACATCGATACCTGTCAGCCATGGTGGTGCCTCGGGACCCCGAGGAAGAGGAGAAGACAGCGCAGGAGAAGTCCCGCCAGGCCTGGCTCACGGCCAGCGGGTTCCGGGTGGCCGGTCTTCAGAAGAGCACCGAAGGCCACCACCAGGACTTCAGGCTGCCACCTGTCTCAGAGCTGAAAGAGGTCTGTGGGCGGTGGGGTGGCCGGGCAGGTCCGTGGGTGGTGGGGCGGGGGTGTCCATGGGGGCTTCCCCACTCCCGACCAGCTGATCCCACCCCAGGAGTGGACGGAGGGCGCCCTGTTCACCAATGTGCTAAGGCCCACGCTGGACCGTGAGAGATGGGGCTGGGACAGGCGCCACCTGGACTTCGAGCTGTACAAGCGGCCCCCACCTTTCGTGGAAGCAGAGCCTCCAAAAGCCATGAGAGGTAGGGGTAGCCGCCTGTGCCTTTCGCAGTTGCCGCTGGGCATAGCCACAGCTCAGGCTTCTGAAGCGCAGGAGGCGGGCAGGCTACAGACCACGTGTGCTGCTGGCCTGTCCGGAGCACCTTTCCCTGCTCCCTGCCTGGCTCCTCATCTATAGTGGGCTGGGAGGAAGAAGGCTGAGAGCTCTGTGGAGATCCCCAACCACCTTCTAGATCTGGGGTCCATGGCAGCTAGGGGGAGTGGGGAGCAAGACAGGAAGCATGAGCCTCGCTGCACCACGCCCGAGTTCTTGCTTCCTTGGTGAAGAGACTTAAAGGTCATTTTGATGTTGCTGTGGAACTCAGGTTTGTTGGTTAACAGAACCAGAAATTTTGTCCAGGGAGAGACATTTTACCTAGCAATAAGGTAAAATGCCAAAACAATCTTCCCCCAAAATCTAGATCAAAACCAGGCATGGTGGCATACACCTGTAATCCCGGCACTCCAGAGGCTGAGGCAGGAGGATTGTTGCAAGTTTGAGACCAGTTTGAGCTACAAAATGGGCTCAAGACCAGCCTGACTGTATAGTGAGACTCTGTCTCAAAAAGACAAAAAACCCAAACAAGTAGATTATAAAAGAGGTGGTTCGTCCCTCGCCCAACCCCTTGAGGACATGGGACATGGGAACATGAGCGGGGGAAATAGGAACAAGGCCTTGAACAGGAGGAGGTGTGCTGGGATGTCGTGCTCCCTCATCCAGGCTTTGCTCCTTCCACCTCGGAGGGCCCTGGGCCTGTGAGCCTGGGATGGGGCACACCTGAGCTGCCAGCCGTTCCCTTGCACAGGTCCCAGGGACTGAGTCCAGCTGAAGAGGACAGTGCCCCCCTTCACAGCTTTCCAAGCCCAGTTTCCTGGGCACTCGCAGGCCTCCCCTCCCCCACCACAAGGGGCCAGGATGACTGAACTATGGGTGAGGCCCAAGTGAGTGACTGGGCCCTGCTGCAGGGCCCTTCCCTGCCACCAGGCCCTGAGTGCCTAGTGTTCCTTGAGTGGGAGAGGGTCTCACAGCTCCCTGCTTGGAAGCCTGGGTCTGGGCACCATGCGGAGCAGGCCGTGGCTTTGCGGGTCACAGCACGCCTGTTTGCCACTGCTGGTCACTGGCAATGAACTATGAGCTCTGGGTTTCACAGGAAAGTTACTCCCCAAGTACCTGTAAACCTTCCCCTGTTGGGGGACAGAGCTGGGCTCCTCCCACCTCCGGATAACTTCTAGTCAGCTTCTAGAAGCTTGAGGAAACGTAAGGCCCTGTTAGTGCCACCTGAAGGCACCTTGCCAGTGCCTAGGTGCGAATGAGCAGACGCCACGTGCTCCCGAAGCAGTTTCCCCCTCTCGAGTGGGGTCAGCGGTTATGGCTTTGTCACAATCCTGTGGTGGCACACTAGCTGGGGGAGGTCAGCCCCTGCTGGCCCAGGCTGGAGACAGAGGGCGCCAGAAGCCACCACCAGAGAGGGGCTTTCAGGGCTGTATTGCTAGCTACTAAGAGCCAGTACTGGGAAATAACGGGTTGGTACAGCAAGGCTAGAAGAGGACATGAACTGTAGCGCTTTAGATTTTTATTAAGTGACTTCTGATACATCTGAAGTGCCTGTTGTTCCGAATATGTGTCCGTGACCCCACATGGCCTCCATGCTCTTTCTTGACCTGTGGTCTGGTAGAAATGGCTGCCCCTGCCTCAGAGCCCTGCAAGTCTGGTGCCACCACTGTGTTATCTTCTCAGCTGTCCCATAATTGCAGTGCCAGGCCTCGGCAATCCCGTGTACTTCATAGCTGGGATCCGGTCAGACGCAGGCTGTGGGTTAGAGCCAGCCAAGGGCCTAGGCAGGAGGAAGCCTGTCTAGTGCCTACTGATGACAGTGGTTCCTGCTGGGATGGCCTGGGTTCTCCATGGCATCTTGTGCCAGCCATAGCTGGGAGGTGGTAGCAGCACTGTCCCCGCCTCAGGACATCCTGTCTAGAGGGTGGGCACAGATGTACGCGCGCTTCTCAAGGATCTGCTGGGCTATTTTCTTAGTCTGATGATCCAGGTTTTCTGGAGCATCTGGGAGGTAAGACAGAGGAGTGGGTGATCTTCCAGCACAGTGATGCACACATGGGGCTGAGCTGGGGGGTGGGGCAAAAAGCCAGCGCCCCTGTTGTGACCTCCAGGCTCCCAAAGCCCCAGACAAAAGACACCACAGTAGTGGTGGCACATGAGGCATGTGAGCCACAGCCAGCTGTCTGTTACCACTGCAAGCCGTAGAAGGTTCTCCATCAATGAATAGAAAGGGCCTGTCCTACTCTAACCCCAGGTCTTCTGGGGGTTCCAGAGCAGGCACCTGTCAGCAAACAGATGCACCACACACACACCAGTCCTGCAGCCATGCAGGGTGCCTGGGCCTGCAGCCCACGACAGCCACAGTCCCCCTCTCCACGCTCACTTCATGGCAGGGACCACAGGCTTAGACCCTGAGCTAGACACGGTGCATAGCTGAGGCTCTGGAAGACAAAGAACATCCCAGACATTCGGGGCAGCGGGCCCAAGGCCTATATTCTCTAGCCCACACCGAGGCCCCCGTGGGAGTGCGTGTCTAAAGGCAGGTTCGACACTCGCCCTCTCCCCTGGATGGGCAGCAGCCCGGGGAGCACACAGCTATCCCACCAGAGCCTGGCTCTGGCCCACTCTTCCCTCCCACAAGGCCCCACTTACCCTTGTCCAGCTGCGACAGGCTGAAGAGATTCTGGAAGTAGGCTTCCACGCAGAACATGTTGGCCAGCAGGACCTGTGGAAACCAAGGTCGGACAGGCAGGCTGTGGGGTGCTGGGGTCTCCCCGAACCCCGCCTGTGTGTTAGCGTGGCACTTTGAAGTCATATGACCTTGGGTTCTAATCCAGCCCAGACCCCAAGACCAACTTATTCAGCATGGCTGGCTGCGGGGCAGGCATCACAGTCCCGGTGTCCATGGGCCACTGCACAGACAGCTGGTGCTCAGTGACTGCACCCGCCTCCCACAGCAGGGACACTGGCTTCAGGGACCGCACCCCCTCTCTTCTAGGCTGCCGACCCACGACTCATGGCGCAGGGCCTGTCTCCCAGGGCAGAGGCACAGGAGCCCCTGCAGAGCTGCACCACCTGACTCCTCACTTTTCTGGCCACCGCCTCCATTAAAGTGCAGCAGAACAAAGGCCTGGCTTGGAAGTCACTGCGTTGGGTCCTAATTCCGCTCCTCACCCAAACTTGCTTTATCCCCAAGAGCAAGTCACTTGGTGTCACCCAGCCTGTTTCCCGAGGGCTGCAGGGCAGACTCACCTCATGGTCGTGGTCCCGGAGCCCGATACGGACAGAGCGACTGGCCCGAGACAGCACGGCCACCATGCCATACATGTTGATGAGGATGTTGGCCACCCGCTTCAGCACCAGCTGCTCGTCCACGATGCTCTGGGGACATGGCTCAGAGTGGAGACCTGCATCCTGCCTGGGCCCCTGCCCCGGGCCCACCTCCAAGTTCTCCATGTGCCTCGGGAACTTAGGGCAGTGCCATCTTCCCCCAGGCCGGGTGAGGCCAGCCTCCAAGTCCCCCACTACGCTCTCCCTCAGGGCTGGGGTTGGGTCAGGGCAGCACTAGAACCTTGGCTGACAGCCTGGTGCTCAGGGTCCCCAAGGCTCAGACCTGTACTCTGGGCCACAGGGAGCCTGCCACACCCAACTGACCATGCTTTCTCCAGGCCCAGTCCCAAAGATGGGCGTGGGGGTCTTGTGGCTGCTGTTCATGTTGGGGCCAGCTGGGCTAGAGGCCCGGCACAGCCCTCTCACCTTTCCAAAGCGTGACAGCAGTGCCTCAACAGTCCGGCCAAAGTAGTACACATTCTGCTCCAGCTTGGTGGCACTGTCCTGCTCAACCAGAAGACGGGACTCTGCTCAGCACTGTATGCCCATAATGACAGTGCCCAACCACAGCCAAGATGTGGCAGAAGTACATGGCACCTGTCCAACTGCTCCTGGCCCCAATGGGACAGCAGCAGGATCGTGGGACAGGTCACTTACCTCCAGACTTGGATGCACCAGTCCGAGCTGACCTGTCAGGCCCATGTCCACGGTTTGGCCCAGAGAGTCTCGAAGCCTCTGGCCCACAGTCTCCATGATCACTCGCACACTGCCCCGTTTCAGCTCGCTGCAGAAGACCCAAGGTGCCTGGCTCTAGACTGCACTGCTGGCTCCCACTGCTCGTAGGGCCCCTGGAACTCTAAACACCTTCCTCAGCAGGCATGGGGGGCTCAAGGGGACAAGGTGACTACTGGCCTCTCACTAGCAGCTGCTTTCCTTAGGGATCCTGAGCACACAGCCAGCTTCCCACTCGCTCCCTTCTCAATTACGGAGGCTGTAAAATGCTACCAGAAACCTGTGCTCAGTCTCTGGTAGGGATGTGTTGACTCTGCCCTGGCCTGAGGAGCTCAAGGGGGGCAGGCAGGGCAGGGCAGGGTGAGCCGCCTCCCCAGGCAGGGGTTCTCTCTCTCCCATTACATTCAGGTGAGGGCTGAGCTCCAGCCCCTGCATCCCGTGCTGCTGGTCCGAGAGTGCACTGCAAAGCTGCCCACCCCCCTCGCTGTCCCCTCTGCCCCCAGGGCAAGCTGGCGGGCCAAGGAGCAGACCAGGGACTGGCACCTACTTCATCCTTGTGGTCAGGATGCGGCCAGCATGCTGCAGGCCTGCGAGCGCGATGAACAGCCTGAGGATCTCGTTGGTTCCCTGTGGCCAGCAACATGGGGTCACCAGTTGCCCCTTCCCAAGGGAGCCCTGGCAGTGCTGTGCATGCCAGGCAGGTGGAGCCCCCGCTCCCCTACTGCCACCTCAGCATGAAGAGCGGAACTGTGATCAGGGGTTGGGTTGAGGTAGGGAGCTGACCAGAGAGCATGGTTCCCACAGGGACCACCGCCTCCCCACATGGCCAGCCTGCTGGGTCACTTTTCTCTAAGCCCCAACTCCTCCTCCATACTGATGCTAGCATTCCCTGGGGGGCAGTTGCCAATGCCCAGGGCCCAGCCAGGGAAGCACGTCGGTCCGCTGCCTCAGGCTGGAGTACAGATTCCTCAGGGAAGCCCTAAAGCACTGAGCAGCAGCAGCAGCAGCTGGTTGGGGCGGGGCACGGGGTGCCTGCATGCAACCCTTCCACTCTGACAGTGGCCATGGGGTGGTGCGGGCAGCTGCCTCAGCTTGGATGGGCGCCCCCTGGAGGGCAGTGGAGGCCCCAGCACAGCCATGCCAAGTTGTGCTGTCTCCAGGCAGCAGTGTCCACCTCTGCCAGAGGTTCTGCGCCTGTCATCGACCTTGGCCTCAAGAGTCCTTGCCTCCTGCCCTGAGTCTTCCCTGCGGGGGAACATCCCAGGAGCCACAACTCACCCCCCCACTCTTAAGGGCCTTTCACAGCCAGGCTGGTGAGGTGGGCTCAGCCCCGCTCTGAAGCTCTGCCTCCTGCACAGCTCAGGCCAAGTCTGGCCATTTTGCCTGCCTTCCCTGCAGGGGAAATTTCCTGGCCTCTGGTCTCAGTGGCCCCGGGAGAACACCTGCTCAAAACCTTCCCCTAGTTCCTGAAGTTCTTGTTTTTGCTTAAGGTCTCCTATGTCCAGCTCCTATGTCCCAGCTCCTCCCTGACCCATTCCTTGCCACCCCACTAGCAGTCTAACCATGCCCCCAGCGAGACCTGCTCGTTCCCTTCCAGTCACCTGGGGCTCACCACCAGGTCCTGTCTGGACCTGGCCCTTCCCACTTCCCTGGCCGTCTGCCAGCACTGCTCACCCTGGCCCTGGCCAAAGGCCTTTCTGCCTGCACCTAAGGGCCAGCATGTATGCCTCTGCAGACCCCAGCTTCTTCCCAGACGTACACAGCACTCAGCCTACAGCAGTCGTCTGCTCCCTCACACCCAGACCCTCTGCAGCTGGCACACGCTGACTGGGCTTCAGGCTGGCACTGCCTAGAAGACCTGGCTAGCGCAGCCAGCTGTCAGGTGACAGCCTCAGGGCAGACCCTGCCTCGGTGCACTGGGACATATCCAGACGAGATGTAATGACAACAGCTGGAGCTGCAACGGAGCCAAGGGGTCCCACAGGATGTGTGTCCCACCCTACCCAGCCAAAGCAATGTGGCTGAGACCACAGTGGGTGGCCAGGGCGGCAGGCCCAGGATAGGGCCTTTGGGAATACAAGGAAGGGACTGTGTGGCCTCCCAGCTGCAATGCCACCCTCTGCAGTGGGGCCATGAGCAGAAACAGCCTGCCGTGGAGAGGGGCCCTGCTGCCTCCCACAGCACCCAGGTACAGGAAGGCAGGGTGGGGTGGGGACATCGGAGGGAGGGCTGCAGCCCCTGCTCACCTCGAAGATGAGGAGGATGCGGGCGTCACGCAGCATGCGCTCGTAGGGCTGGTCCTTCATGTAGCCCGAGCCCCCCAGGATCTGTAGTGCCTCGCTCACACACTGCCAGACACCCTCGGAACTGAACACCTGCCGAGAGTACAGCGAGCTGAGCACAGGGCCAGGCCTGATTCCTTCCGAGAGGAGGAGCTGGCGGGAGGCAAGCAGGCTGAATGGGGGGACCCAGGCCTTAGGGTGCCACCCACCCCGGGAGGACATGGCTGCTTTGCCCTGCTGACAGCACTGACCTTTCCCAGCCCTTTCACACCTCTGTGCTTTCAGAATCCACCCAGAATTCCCTTCTGCCGGGAATGACCCATTGCTGCCCAGCCCAGCCGCCTACAACTCCCAGCTCTGTGTGACTAGGATGTGTCTCTCCCTGTCCCCTCTGTGTCACTGAGCTCTAAGCCAGCAATGGCCAACTTTTCAGAGCTTTCAAGTATAGCCTGGTGTGGCACATGTGCCAGAGATCATCACCACTGCTGCACGCATAGCACCTGAGGAGGGTCAGGGGACAGCTACCAGTCACTGTGGTGGCACTACAGAGGAACAGGAGGATGTGACCATGATCGGGAGCCACTGAATCCAGCACACAGCTGCACCTTAAGACTCACTTTCCACCCTGCTCCTGCCCTTCCTGCCACCTCAGAATGCTTGCTTCTCTGGGCCACCAGACCTCTCAGCATTGCTCTTGAGGTCACCTCCAGGGGCCGAAAGGAGGGCTACCATCTTTCGAGGTATGGCTAAGACACAGGAAACTCCTATCTGCCTCATCAAACATTGTACAAAAGGCCCTTTCTGCAGGACAGCCCTGTCGCTAAGTCCACCAATGTGAAGTTTCACGGTCTGTCTTTTCTAGACCACACAGCATGCGCCCCGGGGACACGAGCTGTGCCATAAACTGACGTCTAGCTGAGCACTGTTCTTTGCCACTTCCCCCAGCTATGTGTCAGGGGCCTGCCTGTCTCTGCAGAGCCGCACATCCTGGATGGAGGGTGAGCTGACCAATAAACTTAGGAGAAAAGGAAAGGGCTGCAAAGGTCACACTGTAGGGTATCTGCGTGTGCCTCACGCTGGCCACGCTGGCACTACCTTCACAATGGCTGCCTCGACAGAGCAGTCCAGAAGCCCCGGCTGGTCCAGCATTCCCGCGGTGAGGTAGGCCATGCTTTCCATCACGTAAGCCTTCTGAGCCATCAGTGCAAACTTTTCCTGGCATGTTCAGAAAACATACAGTTGTGAGCTGAGACCCAAGTCTCACACGTGGGAGAAAAGCTCACGAAGTCAGAAGCCTCACTGCCCAAGAGAATCAGACCCAGCATTAATAACAGGCCTATGTCAGCCCAGCCCCTCCTGCTCCCCAAGGCACTGCCCAGAGGCACCAGAACAGACACCCAGCACGCACACGTTTCCCAGCCATATGGTGAGCCCAGAGGCATCAGTACCTGGATTAACCCAAATTCACTGAGTTTCCTGTTGAACTGCTTCCGTGTGCAGGCATACTCAGCAGTCATTTCTGAGAACAGGGTTAGAACCAGAACCTTTCTGCTTATCCAAACGTGATGTTTTAGGCCCTGGTCACCATTACTCTCCAATCCCACCGCAGAGCTAAGAGCCATGTCAGGGACCACACGCCCCCAAAGCCAGGGGCCCAGGGCCTCAGCATCTGTGGGTCAGAGGCAGGACATCTGCCCATCATGGGCCCAGCAGGCCATGGCAAGGGGACATCATGAGGGGTACTGAGTCATACACAGGCCTGTGAAGAGGCCCAGGCAGAGCGCTCCATCTTCCTGAGCTGAGTTGCTATGAAGGTGCAGAGGAGAGGCAGAGGCACTTACTTGCACAGTGTGGCCCTGGGACCGAGTTCTGAGTGTCTGAGCGACACCCTGCCTTCACCAACCCCAGCCCGCCCACACAGCAAGCTCCACATGCTTCCTGGGGCGCCTCATCACTCAAGAGGGCCCCACAGCCATGCACTTCTGGGCTGTGGGGTCGCATCAGAGGTTGTACTCCTGTGCTGACTGCGAGCACCAGCAAAGCTCTTGCAGAAGCAGAAGCGGAGGGCCCTGCGAGCAGTGCAGCAGAGGAGCCTTGAGCCCCACCTGGCAGCACTGTTTTAGGTCCAGGCATGGGCCTGCGGCCTCATCTTCCTCAACTATCAAACTGAGGGGAGGAAATACACCCGAGCCTTCCTGTGCCCACCTCACCCTGAACTCTTGAGTGTGCTCTTCCGAAAGCTCCCGTTCCCCTGGTCACAGCCACGTGGCAGAGTGGTTACTGGGCTGATTATGCTCAGGCAAGGAGAATCCCAGTTCCACACAGACGAAGCAAAGCAAAGATCCAGTGGCTAAGGGCCTGATCTCCTGAGCCCACTCCTCACTCATGGTGCAGTCACCCGAGAGACTCTGGTGAGGACCACCACTAGGTCCAAGCTTCCCAAGTGGCTCTGCTTCGGACAGAACACCTGGCCTCTGCCCTTCATTGTGCCATAAAATGGGAGGACCAAGCCTTGGCCCCAGTGGAGGACAAAGCCCAGATGCTAAACCTGAGCCGGCACTGTGTGGACAGCCCGGCTCAGCACTTGTGCACCCTGGAGACGCAGCGCAGCTTCCTGCAATGCGACACCAGCACTGCAAAGAGCTCCTGGCCCCACTTACCTACCAATCAGTTTCTTGATCATCGCGGCCGAGAGGCTGCCCATGCTGAACCGCCCGCTGTTGAGGATGTTCATGGCCAGCTGTGGGGAGTAAGAAAAGCCCGGGCCCTGAGATTCCACTTTATGCTCCCTCGGATGGGGACAGATTTCTACAGTGGACAGTGGCAGATGTTGGTGAAACACTCATACATTGCTGGTGGGAACAGACACAGTACAACCACAGTTCAGCAGCTCTTGAAAAAGTAACTCACACACTCACCATATGACCAGCAATTCTACCTTAGGTGCGTAACCAAGGGAACAGAAAATATACTTTCCATACAAAAACTGAAAATAGCCAAACAAATAGAAATAACCCAAATAACCTGATAAATGCAAAAATATATGGTCTGTCCACACCGTAGAATATTACCCAGCCATAAAAAGGAGTTTAGAGATTCATGCTCTAGAATGTAGACAAAGGTTACCAAAGAAGCCCATCACAAAATATTGTATGATTCCATTTATATGAAAATGTTCACAACCACAAAGCCCCTGAAGCACAAAGAAAGAGAGCAGCTGCCAAAGGACAGGGATAGGGGGTTGGAGGTATGATTTATCTTTTCAGGGGTGATAGAAACAGAGGCAACAGCTGTACAACATAGTAAGTGTACTAAAACTTAACACATGCATTTAAAAATGGTGAATTTATGCTAAATGAATTGTTTCTGAAAAAATAAATAAACCTAACTCCAAGTTGGGGGTACGGGGAGAAATTAGGGCAAGGACTCAAGACCACGGTGGTGCAGTCCTAAAACCTGAGCTTCTCAACAGCCTGCTGCCCTGTCTATGCCAGCTGCTGGGGAGGAGACCCGTCCCACACGAGACTAAAGGAACGCTGGTGACAAAGGAAGACCCCCTCCCGGGAGTGAGCTGAATTTGCAGCCAGCACGCTGCTGACTTCCCCTGCCCCCGAGAGGTGCTCCTGCTCACAGGCCAAACACAGGAGCAGGGGAGGGATAAAATGTGGGACTGATGCCCTATGTGTGAAACTACACCCATCACACGAGCCTCTGCTGACAGCTTACCTTAAAGCCACCTCCAACCTCTCCAAGGACGTTTTCAACAGGCACTTTGGTGTCTTCAAAGTGGACTTCACAAGCTGTAACAGGAAATGCAAGCACTAACAAATGCAAACCACTTTGCACTTGACCCACAGTTCACAATTCATTCATTTGCAACAGGGAGAATAGGACAGAGGGCAAAGCACCTATCTTTGAAGAGCTCACACTTTGGGTCCCTTGATGCTGGGTTTGGCCAGGGTGAGCAAGGCTTTGAGATGCGAACACCCTGCGTAGTAATGAAAACACAGGCCACTGAACCAACCTGCAGCCTACTGTGGGCTCCAGAGGGCACCCAAGGACTGAGAGAAAGCAAAATGCCCTTGCCGTGAGCTTTATCGTGAGACAGGTCAGGCAGGGAAGCCAGCAGCCCTGCAGAGACTCGCTCCAGAGGCAGGTCAGTGAGAGGGGCGCAGGCAGAGAAGGTGGGGCAGGGTGGGACGCTGCCTCCACTGTGTGTTTGCAGGCCTCATCCCATCTGCATGGCAACTCCCGGCACTGTGCCCCAGAAGAAAGGAGGCTCGGGATGTGTTCCTCCTCCTACAGCAGCTGTGCTGAAGAGGCAAGGGAAAAGTGTGATAAAATCACACCTGATGGCTGCATGTAAGGTTGGCAGGACATGGACGACAGGCTGAGGCCCTCCTGCCAGAGGCGGCGGGGCATGGGCAGGACCCTGCCTCTCTCTCTGATCTTCCCTTGTGCCGTGATCCCCTTGAAGGCAGCAGCCCTGTGGAGCTGCTCCCTGTAGCCCCTCCACCCATCTTGCTCGTTATTAACCCTAGGCCTCCAAGCAGCTCTGTCAGCGGTACAGGCAGCAGCCAGGCGTCGTGCTCAGACTCGTGGGGCCTCCCACCCTGCCTTTCTGTAGCATGGCCACCCGGGAGAAATAAGTGTTGGGACTCATGCCAGAGCTCGGGGGTCTCCATCTCCCCACAGCCTAAGTAGTATGACCAAATACGCTACCCCAATGGCAGGGTCCCCAAGGACACAGGCACACAAAGGTGGTCCCAAAATACCAAGGGTGGTGTGTGGTGCCCTGCAAATGGGCACTGTGATATCTCAACTGGGAGAGTTGAGCACTGGCAGGGTCAAAGACAGGGACCAGGGCACCAGCCTCCAGGGAACTGAGCATCCCAGGGACATCGCACAGAGGGGAAGGAGGGGCACAAACATCTACACCCACTGCCCCACCTTTGTGGGTCTGCTACCCTACCAGCCAAGGCGTACACCAGCATGGGCTCAGTAAGTGGGCTCACTCGCAGGAGCCCACCTGCCTTGCCAAGGCTGCTGGCTAGCACTGTTGACTCAAGCTTGCTAAAATGCTCACTTAAATCCAAAGGGATTTAAATGTCATCTTATTTTGGTATTTGGACAAAGAAAATGGGTTGCTCTCTCCTATCAATCTCTCCCCACTCCCTTTCTCTCTCTCACAGACACGCACATACACACATACACACGCATGCATGCACACTTACTGTTGGAACCCCGAATGCCTAACTTGTCTTCAGGCTTCCCATTAGTGACTCCACCGAAGTCTCTTTCGACTATGAAGGCTGTGATTTTGTCTTTTGCTGAGCCATTGGCATCAGCCACCTTGGTCCTTGCAAACACAGTGAAAACACTGGCCAGCCCTCCGTTGCTGATCCAGATCTAAAGAAAGACAGTGAAAGGTCTCAGCAGTCACCTCTTGGCCCCATCTGTCTTCCAGCTCCAGCTGCCCACTGTAGCTCAGGGAAGACACAAGTGCCTGTCTCTGCAGCACAGGATGGGGCTCAGCCCAGTCTCCCCAGAACCAAGACTTCCTGAGACAGGAGGCTGGGTTGGGGAGTAGCCAGTGGCATCTGCGTGCCTCAGATGCCACTGCCAGACCACCGGGGACTTTCAACAAGATGGGGATCCCACATTCCACAGGGGAGACAGACATGTGAGCCTGTGTGTTGATTTTAAAAAGGGAAGGAGAGATGAAAGGAAGAAGGGAGGAGGACAGGGAGGGAAAAAACTGAGACTGCCAAGCACTGCAATGGCCAGGACTTATTTCAGTCTTGATTCAAATAGACAAAAAGGTTCAAGATAATCAGGGACAGCTGAAAGCTGACCAGACAGGAAGAAGCTAAGCCATGCTTTTCAGGTGATAACGGTATCATGGCTTTCTCTCTTTGAGACATCCATGCTGACACTGTTAGTGATGATACCCAAAGGTGGCAAGGCCAACAGAAGAAACGCAGAGGCCAGGTGCCGGGTCCACAGCAGTGTACTGCAACGATCTTGTGCGTGTTTGGAATTTATTTATTTTTGAGACAGGGTCTCGCTATATAGCCCAGGCTGGCCTTGAACTCAAATAATCCTCATGCCTCAGCCTCCAGAGTATGGGGTCACAGGCATGTATCATTGCACCCAGCTGTACTGTCTGGGACTTTATAGAGGAAAACTTTCAAGCAAACTCATAAAGTTGCTCATGGAGGCAGCATGCAGAGGCATGGAGATTCCAGAGCCAGAATTCCTTGCTCCAGCCCTTCTCCTGCCACGGAAGTGACATAAGACCTGTGGTGTGTGAGTTAGCCACTCTGAGCTGCAGTTTATTCTGCTAAAAAGGAGCAGCATCCACCCAACAAGCAGTCAGGACAGGTCAAGGGAGGATGTGCACACCGGTAGTCCCCAGGACGAGCATGGTCACCCAGCAGGGGCAGAGGCAGGGCCACACCTTGGAGCCGTTGAGGATATAGTGCTTCTTGTCTTCACTCAGCACGGCCCTGGTCTGGATGGAGGCAGCATCGCTCCCACTATGCACACAGAACAGTGAGGAGAGAGTGAGGATGGCTTCGGGGTCTGGGAAGGGACATGATTGGCACCTGGCTAAGGAAGTCGGTAAGCCTTACACGTACAGGGTCAGACGATAGGCACACTCAGCTGTCCAAGGGACAGGACATCTGTCCCTCTCAACTCTGCTGCAGGACCATGCCCAGGAGTGGGTGGAGTGACAGGCTTGCTGTGAAGGCCTGGGTGCTCCCTGCCCTGCTCAGCCTTGCTCTGCGACCCTGGGGTCCTTACAGCACCTAATCACCCCCATCCTCAGAGAGAAGCACCCTGGAGTGACCCACAAACACCAACTCCACAGACCAGGTTATTAGCTTAGCAGAGAGAAGCAGAGTAAGACAAGAAGTTGGGCAAGCAGGGGTGGGCGACTCTTCCAAAGATTTGAGAGACGGAAGGAACTCAAGTTGGCCCCTCCAGCAAACAGCAGTCCCGAGTCACAGAGGATCCTGTAAAGCACTATGAGGGACGGACCTGTTGGGCTCTGTGAGGCAGAAGGCGGCGATATGCTCCCCCGACGCCAGCCTGGGCAGGTATCTGGTCTTCTGCTCCTCGGTGCCAACCAAGATGATGCCCTAAACCAAACACACAGGCTGCCTATGCCTCCGGGAGGAGGTACGGCTCCACTGGGGATAGTGTTCCCTTCACGCCAGACAGCAGGGGCCCAGGGCACAGGCAGAGCCAGGGAGCCACGCCGCCGTACCCACCCCAGGCCAGGGCCCCTCCACTGCCCAGCCAGGTAGCCCCAGACAAGGAGTGTCCCTTCTAGGAACCTGAAACTCATAATGTACAAGTGAGGCCTCCCTCTCTGCCCGGGCGGTCTGAACAATGGGAGGCGAGGCTGGGAGCTGTGCCCTACTTCATCAGGGGCCTGCAGCAGGGGCTGGTCCCAGGGAGTGAGCGCTCACGTGGCTCAGTCCCACATCCACACTGGGCAGGGGTAACTGAGGACAGTGCCTCTGAGAGCCACACGCCCTTGGACCTGTCTCAACATGCTCTGAGGCTTTTGGGATGAGGAAGACACATGGACACACGGCAAGAGAGGTCAGGAAAGGGGCTCACTTTCAGCTTGGATGAGGGCTTGCTGGGTCCCGAAGGATGGGTCAGACACAAGGAGGACAGAGGAGATGGCGTCAGCACAAAGGGACAGTGGGCACAAGGGTCTCCACTCACATGGAGCAGCTGGCCTCACGCTCCTCCAAGACCCCAAGCCATCAGGCAGGATTCACTGCAGAGGAGTGACGGGGCAGGCTTCCGCCTGCTCCAGGAAGCCCCAGGAACCCTAGAGCACTGACCTTGAGGCCAATGGCCTGGTGTGCTGCCAGGGTCACAGTGATGGATCCATCCAGGCTGATGGCCTCCCCTAGCCGTGCATACATGGTGTGGGACAGGCCCAGGCCACCTAGGAAACAGAACAGTCCAGTCACAGCCCAGTCACGGTCCAGCTGGACTCTTCTTGCTAATGTGAATGGTTTCATGGGTTTTTCTTCCTAATCATAAAGCAATGCAGATCATGAATTTTTTTTTTTAAATCAAGAAGGAAAACAAGCCATCTATAAGCTTATATTACTGCATTCCTGTAGGACTTTTTTCAGACACACAAACATAAACATATATATGTATATATTTTTATCAGTACCAGGGATCGAACTGACAACTGCCTGCTTGCAAGGCAGGCGCTTATGCCACTGAACTAAATCCCCAGCCCCCATAAACATATCTATGTACACAATAAATCATGGCATATATGCAGTTTGTCCTATTGGATGTGGACCTTAATAGCGCCCCACTGCCCGGTATCTGGTGGGCACCGGGACAGGGTTTCTGTGCCTCCACCCAATATTTGGGGATGGCTCCTTCTCTGTCACGGGGGCTTCTGTGCACCCCCGGAGGTTCTGCAGCATCCTGGGGCTCTACCCATGAGCTACTAAGCAACTCTCCACCCTGCAGTCCTGAGAACCAGAACCCTCTCTGGACATGGCAAATGTTCCTGAATGTTCTGTTAACTGGGAATTACTGCTTTGGGGGTAAACAGACAAAATGTTTCAAAACAGAAAGATTAAAACTTCCAGGGGTGGGGATTTAGCTCAGTGGCATGAGTGCCTGCCTTGCAAGCTCAAGTTCGTGAGTTCAATCCTTGGTACCAAAAAAAAAAAAAAAAAAAAAAAAATCTGAAAAGATTAAAACTTCCACTGAGCTTATGTGCCTTCTATTCAACTTTCAGAGGCAGCTGAGAGGCCATCGGTTCACTTTGCTAACAATTCATTGAGGCCAACAAATAGCAAGACTGGCACTGAACCTGTGGCACCCACAGGGCTCACCATTCACACACATGTCAAGGGATGTCACCCTTGCAGGTGGGCGGTGTTCCTGCTGGCTGTGCTGTCACCTTAGTGCTGTGTTAACACCCTGCACCCCCCACCCCGTTTCAACCCAAAACACCATTGCTCTTCCTCCTTTATCTACTGAGGACGCCAGCTTGGTCCAGGGGAAAAAGTCAAGATGATTTCCTCAGAAAGCACATGGGAAAGATCGTGGGGAGACACGATCACCCCGGAACCTTTGGGGAGGGACACCGAATCAACACAGGAACCACACATGGGGGACTGTGAGCCCCAGGGAGAACCAAGGAGGAGCTGAGGTCGGCAGATCACATTGGTTTCTGCCCAGTCCTCACCCTTAGCTGGGAAAAGGGCTCCCAAGGCACCTGGCTATCCTGAGGCCCTCACCCCTGGAGGCTCTGACCCCGCCTCCTTCTGTTCTGACACTCAGCAATCAGGTGGCCAGGTGTGAAGAGAACCATGCCTCTGTCCTTGAGAGTCAACTCTCAAGCTCCAGGCAGCTGGAAAGGCTTGGTCATTGCCCTGCGCCCCTGGAGGCAGAGTGAGCAATCTGGGGGAGGCAGAGGGATGCCCTGTGCCCGTGGGGGGCGTGAGCCATGAGCTTCCTGCCACAGGATAAGGTTATTTTCGGTCCTTGAAGACAAGGTGAATTATCACACATACTTGTCATCACAGGATGACACAACAAAGAAACACAGATGCAAAGTGTCAACCTGATTAACACAAAAAGGAAGGAAATTAGGCGTCCTATTTATGTATCCTTAATTTTACCTGTCTGTCTGAACCTGGACCAGCTCTAGGGTACGTTCCAGCAGGAACTTACAGACTCAAGCCCAGGTCTCCCCGCTGACCCCTACTCCCCTGACGAGAAGGGAGGCCCCGCAGTCTTCAGAGATGAACCAGGCAGGACACAAGAGCAAAACAAGCTCCCAACGGCTATGGCTCGCTGTGTGAACCCTTAGGTCAGAGGACTTCTGGCAAAGGCCTGGGACAGCACTTCTCCAAACAACAGCGACAGCTGAGAACACTGAGCCTTAACTACCAACCCTCCTGCCACCTCCAGGCCCTCGGCTGCTCCTGGTAGTCCCAAGCCGGTGTGGCTGCTAAGCCCAAAGCCACAGTTCAGGTCCCAGCTTTACATGGGCTGTAGACACCCAACAGCAGCTCTTTCTGAACAGCTTCTGGACACATGCACACAAAAGGCCACAGTGGGGCCTTCCTCTGACTTACCATACTCTTCTGGGATCTGCATCCCAAACAGCCCCAGGCTCCTCAGTTTCTCCAAAGTGTCATTTGGGATCTTCCCTTCTTGGTCAATTTTTCTAGAGTCCACTGTCAAGAGGAGATGGCGTAAGCAGAAGAGAAGTCACCAGTGCTCACGCAAATAAAAGTACACGCAGCTTTCCATACAGCTTCAATCTCAGTGTCAAAAATTTCTCAAAACTGGGGATCACCTAGTCCTATCCCTGAATGGTATTTGTTTTAAATTCACCAGTGACAGATGGAGCTCTGTTGCTTCTGCCATGGAAAATGGTAGCAAATTATAAATTTATAAGTCATAGATTTCTGAAGGCACTTGGTTTTTTAACCAAGAAAACAGGGGAGGAACTACACCACTCCCAGCCTTAGCAGCCCTCTGGGCTTCGGCCCTGGACTCTGGCTGTTTGATCTCAGCTCACTCACTCATTCACTCTCTTTCTCCAGTGCAAAAGTGAACAGTGACCAGCATTCAGTGTATAACCTTCCCACAAACCTCAGGGTCGGGACACTGGTTTGCATAAGATGACACTAGACATCATCAATGGTATAACATTTTAAAACCATAACCTCCAGTTGTAATTTTTTTTTTTTTTTTTGGTATGTGGGTCACTAAAGAATTATGGACCCCAAATGCAGGCCAAACTCCTCATTTTAAAATTTTAATTTACCGACATCTATTATTGGCATATAAAACCTACACAGATTTACAACACACAATTTACTAAATTCCGACATGTCAAATCATCACCATTAGGAAGTAAATATTTCCTCTTTTACAAGGTCTCTCAGTCCCCTCTGTGACCAAGCTTTTGTAGCCACTGCCAGCTCTAGCAGCCTGGGGTCTCTCTGCAGTCTTTAGATTTGTTTCTTTTCTGAGTTTTATATGTAAGTGTTCACAGAGCCTGGCTTACCGGTCTGGCTTCTTCACAGAGCAGTGGCTGTGACACTGCTGCATGTATACTTTGTCAGTCAATGGTCTACTGCACAGTATACAATTCTTTGAGTATACCTAAATTCCATGAGTATAAAGGACCAAAGACAAAAGTGCCAGTGGACACCTCATCAGAAACACTGTGAAGCCGGAAGAGCACGCACCAACACCGCAAAACTGGAAAGGGAAAAGCTGTCATAAAGAATCCTCTTCTGACTCCAGCCTTGTTGTGAAGCCACGCACAAATCAAGAATGCCTCTCCTGCAGAGCTATACACCATTACAGGGGTCTTCCCCACAGAAGATGGGTGGCACCAGAAGGACATGTGCTTCCACGTAAGAATGAAGATCAACAGAAACATAGACAGCAACCACAAAAGTCACTGTTTCTTGTGTCCAAAATGTAAAAGAAAAAATAGTGCAAAGGAAAGCTCAGGAAACAGACAGTGAGGATGGCTGCCCAACACTGCGACTGTGCTTAGTGCAATGGGATTGTGCACAGGGCTAGGGTGGCACATTTATGCTAGGTATATTTTATCACAAAGAAAAGAGATGCAAGGTATTACAGGGTTTATGAGAAAGGGGAAATAAAATTTATGAAACAGTAGCACGCAGGCTGGGAAGGTGGAAACGTCCTACTGTTCTTGTACAACACAGGAGGTGGCAGAAAAACAGTTGAAGGAAGGCTGGCAAATGATGCAAACAGCAAACTCTAAAATCCACCGCTTACAAACACGGGGAGCTGAGGATTTAGCTCAGTGGTGTAAGCGCCTGCCTGACAAGTGTGAGGTTGTGAGTACAAAACAAAAAAACACTACAGGTCCTGACCTCTGTAACCCTCGCACTCAAGAGGCTGATACAGGAGAGTTATCACAGGTTCAAGGGCATCCTCAATAGTAACTTCAAGGCCACCGTTACCTATATAGCAAGAACTGGTCCAGTCCAGTCAGTGAGGTAGATTAGGGCATGGCAAGGAGGCTGGACAACAGGATGTGACCTGTCAATCACGGAGAGCTGACAAATCACTGTCCAGCTCTAATGTCAGAAGAGGATCTCAAACAGAGGCTGGCCACTGACTGCATGGTCACTGCTGCTCTCTTGTTCCTGCAGTGGCCTGTGCCACATGAGGAGCGTTATCTTCACTTTTCTTACCTCTTTTTGCACTTCATGCTTTCTTCAATTCTTTGGCCTTTAATAAACTACATTTTCAAGTTCACTGATTATTTCATCCAGTTCTGTGAATGGACACCAAGAGCCTGGAGGCACTGGACACCACACCTGTACATACCTGCAGCACTGTTAAAATTCCAGCTACTCGGGAAGGCAGCTGAGGCAGGATGATAGCAAGTCCAAGGCCAGCTTGGACACCTTAGCAAAAACAATTTCAAAGTAAAAAACTAAAGGAAGGGCTTTGTGGTAGTGTACCTACCTAGCAAGTGCCAGGCCCTGAGCACTGCAGTGGGGGAGGGCAGGAAATGGTGGCAAGCAGAACTCTAAAGTCAGCACAGGAGAGAAAATGAAATACTCTACTAAGTCAAGAGAAGGAAGAAAAGCATGGACAAGTGAACAAAGGCCTGACAGTGAAAACACCCAGAAGAGAGACTAAAACCCATTTATATCAATAATCACATTAATCTCATCAAATATTAATAATTAAAAGGCATATACTATCAGATGAGATTTAAAAGACAACATCTGTTTCATGTATCCTCACCTGGACCAGACTCAGGACCCTTGGCTGCTTGTAACTTTAAATAAATAAATAAAAGGCAACACTCTACTCTGGTACTTATGCAAAATCCACCTTACTAGTTTTACTTTAAACCTTTTATTTGAAATAACTCTACAGGTAAGAAAAGTTGCATACTATAAAGCTCCTGTCAGCCTTCACCTGGATTTCACTAACAGAACAAACAGACGCAGTGCCTGTGCGGCTATGATTCCCTAACGTAGGAACCTGCCATCCACACTCTGTCATTGACTGCACCCACCTGTCCCTCAGTGACCTTCCTTGGGCCAGGATTCGATCCAAGGCGCCATGGTCATGGCTCCTCAGCCTCCCCCAGACTGCGACTGTCCTTCAGTCCCTGTCACTTGCGAACTTGACCCTTTGAAAGCCCTGGTCCGTTTCTTTGCAGTGTCCCTCAGTTGGGGGCTGTCTGGTGTTGTCTCACAATTAGACTGAGGGCTGCGCTTCCGGGAAGAATGCCATGCAGTGATGTCCTCTACCCCCGGGTACCACACTGGGAGGAACACAGTGCCCACCAGGTCCTGTTACTGCTGACATACTCCTGATCCACTATTTATGGTAGTGACTGCCTGAATCCTCCACAAAGAAGTTACTATTTTCCTCTCTAAAATTAGCAGAAGACAGCTACTAGAATACTGCCTACATAGATGGTCTTCAAACCGCCACATACTGACTCTGCTATCTGCTGGTAGAATGGCCTGTTAATAAAATTTACTGTATTATTTGCTTAATGGTATTTTTTACTTCTATGATTCCTTTTCTACTGAAGAGAATGAGAAATCCTCTTTGAATACAAAGGCACAAGTCACAAGAAGATGAAGCAATATGTATCATCCTCCCACAAACCAGGGCAGCTGAACGAACAACCGAACAACACTAATATCAGATAAAGTTCATTTCCAAGCAAAGACTATGTTACCAAGGATAAAGAAAGATTTTATGAGACAGGCATCAACTTATCAAAAGCGTCTACTCCTGAACACCGATGCACCTAATAACAAAGCTTCGTTCCCCATTTGATCAGTGTTACCCAAGCAACTATATTTATTGTAATCCAACTGGCTGATCATAGTTTTGTCCCACCTCACACCCACTTTTTGACTTCCCATTGGATCAATATTACCTAAGTGACTTTACTTGTAATCTTGATTATAGTTCTGTCTTACTTTATACCTGCTTCACCTCATGGCTTTGCTCAGTAAACCCTATTCAGAAGAGGAGTTAGTGGCACCCCACTCTCCAGTGACCCTTCCCCCCCCCCCCCCGCTTTTTTTTTTTGGTACCACGGATTGAACTCACAACCTCACACTTGCCAGGTAGGCACTTAAGCCGCTGAGCTAAATCCTCGGGCCCCTTCTTCCCTTTTAGCAGAAGCTTTCTTTCAATAAATTATTTCTACTCTTAATACACACACACACACACACACACACACACACAGAGAGAGAGAGAGAGAGAGAGAGAGAGAGAGAGAGAGAGAGAAAAACCTAATAGAAATGAAAACAATAAATACACAAATACAGTCAGAGATTTCAATAAACCTCTTTCAATCTGCAGAAAAAAGGCAAACTTGTAAGGATGTAGAACCTTTTAATAGTATCAACAAACTTATACTCACTGCAGATCATTCCACCAAAACAAAGACAAACTACAGTCACAAACATCAGCCAGCTTAAAAGGATTCAAATCGTACAAACTTGTTCTCTCACCACAATGGAACACATCTAGAAATTGACAACTGGGGAATCACCATAGACCAAAAGGATAAGGGAAGACAGAACTATAGACCAACAAATTCATCAACTTTGATATAAACTCCTTAAGAAACAGGTAACTTGAACAGCTTTACATTAAAAAAACTGCAGTGATTTAATAATACCTTCCCACTCAAACAGCTTTACTGGTGATTTAGAAATAATACCAAGTTTATAAAAACCTTATGAAACTTGAAGAGGAGGAATTATTTCCCAATTTAAAGTAGGAGGCCAATACTATTTTTTTAAAAAAAATTTATATCATAAAAAATTAAGCTGCAGACCAATATTCTTCAGGAATACAGATGCAAAACTTCTCCTTTTTTTGTAACAAGGTCTCACTACGTAGCCCAGGGTAGCCCCCAACTCATAGCAATTCTCCTGCCTCAGCCTCCCAGGTGGTAGGATTACAGACATACCACCATACTCAGTCTTAAGAATTCTTTAACCAAAGATCAGGCCAACCAGGAGGAAGGGATCTAGGAAGCAGCAGCACCCTCCTGCGCACCCAGCAGGGGCCACTGGAGGGCAGGGAGAGAAGATATCCCATTGCCCACCATCCCCTCACAAAGCAATCAGCTGATTCAGAGGAATGCAGGCTGAGATGATAGCAACTGAAGTAAAGAACATAATGCTTATAT